AGCCTGCCCTGGCCTCCCTCACTGCTTCTGCCCCTGTCATCTGCTGGCCACTGTCTCCCCAGGGTGACACACTTGTAAAAAGCATTTACTCATCAGAATGGGACACTTGGACAGGTTCCTCCACTGCTCAAGCATGGTCATGCTGCTGGGCATGCCAGGACCACTTGTCGTGCTTTCTGTGTGACAGAGGATGCCCAGGAGCAATAGGGGTTCCTAAGGAAAGCCAGCTTACTCCCAGCATGCAGGAGACTGCTATGGGTTGAAACACGCTGTCTGCACAGCTGTCTACATCTTCCCTGAGGTGTTCAGCATCCAAACCCTGAAACTCCAGGCTCCTGCCTGCAGGTGCTGTGCCTACTGCAGTGCTGACTGAGCACCTGGTTGGAGTGCACCTGCCCCAAACAGCCCCAGACCACAGCCAGCAAATTTGGGCAACCTCTCTTCAGCCTTTCTAGAGCACCTGAACTCAGATGGACATTGTCAGGACCAGCTGGGTAATGCTGGGGTGAATCCTGGCACTGTGCTCACCATGGTGCCACAGAGCTGCTAGGGGAGGCTGTGTCCAGGCTTGCACTGGAGGGCTCTGGCAGTGACACCACACTCCCACCATGTGCTCAGAGTGTCCAGGAGTCCTCTGTCATAGTGTCAAGATGATGCTACACCTGGGCTGCTTTGACCCCTTGGTTTTGTTCTCCAAGGCCATTTCAGCACCGTCTATTTTGTTCCCACAAAAATTTTGTTTTGTGCCACAGCACCAAACGATATCTTAAAAGTATTTTCCAACCTCGGTGATTCCATGATTCCACAGTTCTGTGGTATTGTGGGCTCCTGCCCAGCTGCAGAGGCTGGAAGCGTGGATGTCTGCCAGGAGTGCAACTCAGCACTGGCGCCCACACTGTCCTGTGCTCACCTCAGCCTGCCGTCCTGCCCATGACCCTGGGGTGCAGCTGCCCTCTCTGCCCTTGAGCAAGCAGGTGCCTGACCCCAGAGCAGACCCACTCAGCAGCCAGCAGGAATTATTACTCCATTGTCTATTGACTGGGCAGCTTCTCCAGAAGTGACAACCACTTGCACCTCCCCACAGCTCTTCACCTCTAACGTGGCAGCCCCCAGAGCCCTTCCTGGCATCACTGGCCTGAGGTGCCCAGGCAGTCCTAGCCACACATGGCCTCTGGAGAGGTGTGGGGGTGTGTGGGGTGAGCAGCAGACCCGTTGTGGCATGGAACTGGGAGCTGGCAGGCAGCCAAGCACGAGGCTTGCTTATGCAGGGAGGAAGGGGCTTGGGCTTTGGAGAAGCTTTGCAGGGAGCCCTAACATGGTGGCCCAAATGTGGTGCCATGCCCGTCACAGGACCCGCCTGGCAGAAGGCACAGGGTCCCCATGTCTCCTTGAGGTGGGAGTGCCCGTGCCCTCCCAGCATGGCCATCCATACTCCAGTACCTCTGCAAGGAGGCTGTAGAGTGTTGCTCAGACCCTTCAGGGCTGCTGCCAATGTCTCTTGGTTTTTAACTTAAAGACTAGAGGGGAAAAATCCTCGGAGGAATCAGCTGCAGACTGAGGGGTTGCAGCTCACCCCTAGGGCTCCATCCAGGTTCTTTTCAAGTGTCAGCACCGTCACAAAACCATTCCAAACTAAACAGAACCCCCTAGGAGGCTCATTTTAGAGCTTCTCAGCCACAGCCTCACCTTGACTTCATCCCCTCCTGATCTGATGTCTGTGTCTCTGCAGTTGTTCAGAAAGCTGGAAAACATCCCCCTCTTGGGAGGTAAATAATCAATAACATCCGGCCTTTGTAATTCTATGAGCTCAATCAATTTCTGTCCCTGACTTTCTGCAGCCCAACGCAGCTTGCCGGAGCCCCAGTGCCAGCTCCTTGCAAGCCCTCCACATGCCCAGGGTTCTCAGTCTGCAATGCAGCACCGCAACACACCGCTCTGACTGTCGGCATTTGGTGCAGGGATGGCAGCAGCTGCCGGTGTTTGGAGCAGCAACATGCTGCCTCCTTCCCACCCTGCTCCTTCCCTGTGCACAGTCTCTGCTGGCATTGGGATGGGCAGGAAAACTCAGTCCTTGTTTTCTTGGCCCGCCTCTAAGATGTGCTAAGCCAAACAGCTGTTGCCAGCATAAGGACTGGCTGGCGGCCACCACGTCCCTCTCCCCTTCTGGCCCGGCCCTGTTCCTCCTCTGCCTAGCTCTTGTGAGACACAGGTAGCCACTGCATCCAGTCCTGTCTGGCGCTGTGCTGCTCTGTGGTCCTCAGGGCTGGCAGCACAAACACTGGGCAGGACCAGCCTCTGCCATGGCAAGTGATGGCAAGTGGAACCATGGGAATGTGAGGCGCTTGGCCCTCCTGGCATGGCTGGACTTCCTAGGGCAGCAAAGAGCCGTTTGGACGGGAGTGACGTGAGAGCTTCTGGTCTAGAGCTTGAACCTTAGCATTGTGCTGCAGCTGTGACACTTATCTGGCTTAAGGGATCAGGCGCTGGGCTTGCAAATAGGGCCAGGGCTCTTGCAGAGCCAGCATTACCTCAAAAGCACCCCTAAGCCAGCCTGTGGTCGTGTATGCACCCACTTGGCCCAGCTCAACTCTGTGCCCACCTCCCTGAAGTCCTGACTGTACGTCTCATTGTCATCCAAAATCCACCCATGGGGCTGTTGCTCAGCACCCACAGGCTCCTCCAGCTCTCCCTTTAAAAACAGAGAGAGAAGAGCCAGGACCTGCCAGCAAAGCTTTTCTTTTCAATAGAGGAGTCCCTGTCCCAAAGGCAGGCGCGTGGGAAGGCTGGTACAGCCAGATGAGGTCGGGCCAGGGTCTGCTCTGACACCAGCTCCCACAGCCAGAGATCCTCGGAGTTCTGCCAGCAGGACAAAATGGACCCTTTGCTCCATCCTGTTCCTACCAGGACATTGGCAAAGTCTCCCTGGCTTCTCTTGGGCAGAGCCTGGGGTATGTCCCCACCGGCACTGGCCGTCCCAGCACTGCTGTCTCTCTAACAACCCCAGTCTCTGCCATTTCAGTCATCCCGGGAAGTCCCCCGGGACCCCAATCCTACTCTCAAGCATTTGTCCCCTCCCGCTCTCGCATGTCCCTGGCTGCAGCGGCTTGTCCTGGTACTCTGGGACCACCCAGGGCAGCTGGCAGCTCCGGGGCTCCGTGCCTGGACCGCAGCGCCCAGAACCAACCCCCGGACACGGGAATGTGCCCGGGGCGGCCCCCGCAGCCCTCACAGCCCCGGCCAGCCCGGGTCCCGTGAAGGGGGCCCGTGGCAAACCCGACGAACCGCGGAGAGCCGGGACTCGCCCTCTCGAGTCCCTGCGGGGCCGGACCCGGGTCGCGGCTGTGCCGGTGTCCTTGTGCGCGGGACCGGCGGGGCCGGCGCTCCGGTGACCAGCAGCCCGAGGCGGGGCGGATCCATCCAACATCCAACACGGCTGAGCCCCTGCGGCCGCTCCGTCCCTCTCGTGGCCCGGGGCCCCGGGCCGGACGGGCTTGGTTCAGGGCCTCCCGGTCCTTCCCGCCATGGACGAGCAGCGTCCATCGCGCCTCCCCCGTGAGCTGCTCCGGGACCCGCCGCCCAGGCTCGAGCCGGGGGGCGGCCGCCGCGCCCGCCCCCGGTGCCGGTGCCGGTGCCGGTGCCGCAGGGATCGTCCCCCGCCCGGCGCCCCCCGCCCGTGCGCTCTGCCGCCCGCGCACATTACCTGGGCGGGTATCGCCGACGCTGGCGGTCGCCCGCGCTGACCGAGTCCCGGGCGAGTAGGAAGCCGGCGGTGAGAGAGCCGGCGCCCACCATGGCCAGGAGGCCGGCGGAGCGGCGGGCGGAGAGAGCGCGGGCGAAGGTGCTGGCCATGTCGGAGCGGCGGAGCAAGCGCGCCGGGGCGGGCAGCGGACGTGAGGGGAATCGGAACGGGAATGGGAACGGGAACGGCGGCGGGGCGCTCGGGGGGCGGGGAGCCGGCGGGGTACGGGTGGGCCTGGCGGCACCGCCACCTGCTTGGCTGCCCCGCCCCGCCCCGCCCCACCGAGGCCGCCGCCGCTTTCAGCACCGCTCGCCGGACAGCGCCGGAGGGGCGGCTGCGCCGAGATGGGCCGGCTCCGCACCGGGACCTACACCTCGGAGCCCCTCGCCGCGCCCTGGGGTGGGCGGGCGCGGCCGGGTCAAAGTTTGTCCACCCGAAGCCGGGAGCGGCGACCGTAGCTCCTGACGGGGTGCGGCCCGCGATGGGTCCCGGGGTCGGGGGCCTGTTCTCGGCGGTCACCAGCCCTCCCGCAGTGCCCACCACACCGACGGGGCCATGAAGTGCGCCGCGTTCGCTACCGCAGACCCCCAAGGGACGGGAGATGCTGGCGCACAGCTGCGCTGCTCTGGCCCACGGGAAGTGGCCGCAGGGTACGGAACCGCGCGCCCAGCCCGGTACGGCCGCTCCGGGCTCTTGTCCCGCCCGGTGCAGTCGCGCGCTTGCCGTTCCAGCACGGGCCCGGCGCGGGGCCCGCGCCCACGTGCGCGTCTGGCCGCGCTGCAGGTCCCGCCGCCGCCGCCAGGGGCCGCCATGCCGTGCCCGCGCGCGTCCCGGCCGGCCCGCCTCCTCCGCACCAATTGGCTGCCTGGGGCCGTCAGCAGGCGGCGATTGGCTGGCGGCAGCGCCCGCAGCGCAGGCTGCGCTCGGAGGCCGCAGGTGAGCGGAGCGAAATGGCGGCGCCTGGCGTGGCGCCCCCTGCTGCCGCCGCAACGGGCAGGGGCGGCCGCGGGGCCCGGCCGGGGCCGGGGCGGGAAGCGAAGCGAAGCCCAAGGCGGGGACGGGTAGGGCGGCCGATCGCGCCGCTGCCGGGCCCTGTTTGTCGGCGGCTGTCGGGGAGCGCCGGGTGGGCGGCAGCGGCGGCGCCACGGCGAGGCGCGGCCCGGTCCCGTGCCGCCCCGCGCTTCGCCTGTGCCTGCCGGGTCCGGGGCCCGGCCTCCCGCGGCGCGGCAGCTCCGCCCGACTCGGGCGCAGCGGCGGGCGAGGCTCGTGCAGGCCGCTCGGGGCCTGTGCGTGCCGGTGCTGCCCGGTGCTGCCCGGTGCTGCCCGCTCTCCAGGCAGCGCGGCTCGCCCTTTGCCGGGCTGCTAGAGGTCGCGCCGCTCTCCGGCCCGGTCCTGGCCCTGCCTGCGCCTCTGCCCCGCTCTCCGGGGCCGCTGTCTCTCCCAAGCCTGGCAGGCCGGTGTTGGTGAAGTCGCCACGGTGTGCGCGAGGTGGAGCGGCAGCGGCCCCCTGCAGTAAACTCTCAGTGGCAGCGACCGTGTCGGAGGAGTTCCCGGTACTGAGGTTTTCACGCTTTACAGAGGTCTCAGGAGTCTGATTAAATATTTTGTTACAAGCCATGTAAGACACGGACGGGTCTCGCCGCTGTGCGGGGCAGACCGAGGCACTGTCTGGACGCTCCGCTCTGCTTCGCCCTCCGCCTTTGCGGCTCCCTCTGTGCTCGGCCTGCCCGAAAGCGCTGCTTGGATCGTCTGAACTTGACTTCAGCTTCCGGGCTGTGAATGCCTTGAATGCCTGTGTTACCAGAACAGAGGGATTTCTCTGCTACACCATGTACAAATAGTTTTAATTATTAAGCCTAGAATAGATGATGTGCCTGTTCTGAATCAATTATGTGCCCATGACAGGAGCACAGCTTCCACAATTTTAAAATAGGGAATTAGCCTTAATGCAAACAGCCCTTGTAACAGTGGAAGTAACTCTCCCTGTGTCACTGGTCATGCAGAGGTGTGTTAGTGGTCATGCATGCAAAGGTACTTCGTTGCTCAGGGCCTAAGCTTTCAGGGTTGGTTTCTTTTGGACTGGTTGGTTGGTTGTAGGTAGTAGGCAGTTTGGTTGTAGGCAGTTTTTTCAGGTATTTCTACAAGACATTGCTAGTATAAGTGTTTTAAAATGCCAGCTTTGTGTATTTTTAGAAGTCATGGTCCTGCATGTACTTGACCTGGCTTGGCTCTAAGTTGGATCACGCTTGCTGGCTTTCTGCATGCCAGGATAATCCTAAATTCCTGCCACTGACAATATGGTAAGTCATGTTCCTGTCCGTCAGCCCGGCACTACAGAGGCTGCACCTGCATCTGCACCTTTTGTTTAAAAACTGAAATGAAACAAAACCCCAACATGCAAGCCCACTTTTTGGTTGGTTAATGCCACACTGAGTACAAACTTAATACAAGACCTAATCAGACCTTCACACCTTAAATGTCTGGTACCTCAGAAGCAGGGCATGAAGAATTTCTTTACTTTGTGAGCAGCCGTATCTGAACAGCACCAGAATGATCTGCTGGGGAACCGGAAAACCAAAAATTTTCTATATGACTTCTTATCTCTAATACAGGGCAATCTAGGGAGCTGAAACAGTCCCAGGCCATCAGAGGCAAGGTCTGTGGCTCCATATAGGGTTGTGTGTCAGCAGATTTGGACTGCTGATTGAGTAATTTTGGTAACCTTTGGTATGACTGTGCATCAGATCACAGCTTCCCTTCTTGGAAGTGCAGCAGGAAAGTCTTCAGCTGCAGCGGCTGGCATGTACTCCTCCTGTATCTGTGACAGGACTACCAAGCCTGGATACTCTGACTCAAAGCCGGAATCATCCTTACCTTTCGTGTGTATATGCCAGAGCCACATTAGTGCTCTTGTCTCCCTTGGATGACACAGTCAGCTACATTAACTCTACACTGAATTTTCTTGCTGTGATTAGTGAGAGCTGAGGCCCATAGCACTCTCACCGACTGTGAACTGGCTGAAATGTGTGGCTTCCACAAGCAGTTAGCTCAGCAGTCAGCAGGGACAGAACCATCAGCATGCTGTGGTTGGTGTGAAAAGTGTGGGCTGTGTGCTGTGCAGGAACCTGTAAGGGTTCCATGGTGGCAATTGCCACGCTGCTGGCATATGAGCCCCGTGCCAGTTAAACACTAGAGCTGGCTCAGGTGTGGTGGGCAAACTTCCTGTCACTGTCCTTAGATACCAGAATAGAACTCCACTTGCCTGTGTCCATTTAAGAGCAACAGTCTTAGTTTTTAATGCCTTAGTTATGCCTGTAGCTAAAAGTTCTGTTTCATCAAGAGTCTGTAGTTGCTTGGTACAAGTCTACGGTAAAGAATCTGCTTTTAAGAAAAACTGTAAAAAGGTTCTGGTTAACCCTTCTCCCACACCTGAAATCATGAGGCTTTCCTTATTCACATAATGGGCATGCCTGTGCTATCAGTGGCTGTCAGCTTCAGTGAGGCTCTGAGTTTTTACCTGATGTGAGTATGGTGCGTCATGGCCTTGAAACAGAGCTATAGAGCAAGGAAGAGGCTTTTTCTCTGGGATAGGAGGAGGAGTGTAGAGAAGTTCTTGCTTTCTGCGTTCTTAGGGCAAAGGTTTTCCTGCTGCTTGATCTGTTTTTTTTCCAGGAGGGAGGGGAGAGTAAGGGATTGGAGAAAATAACCCTCCTCCTCCTTTTGTGCGGTTTGCTTCACTTCATTAAATCATCAGCCATCAAGCTGATAGCGTACTTGGTAAGGGCTCATTCTGCAGTGATGTGCTGAGGCGGCAGGACACAGGCATGAAAATAGTTCCTGAGTATGTTGGGACTGCAACTCTTGTCCTCCTCTGGAGACAGCAGGGCTATGTGGAGTGCACAGTAAATAACTCTACAGCCTGGTCTGCCAGCACTGTTCCTCCCACTAGCAGCAAGTACTGATGGTGAGTATCAGCTCTGACTTGTGCTGACCGAAATTCAGTGCCAGGTCTGTGCTGTGCTTCGGGGATTTTGTGGCAGCAGCGGCACTGGACTCGGTGCATGGGACTAAGATAGAGGAGATCATTCTTGGTGTGTGTGTACAAAGCCCAGGCTTGCTGTGTCCCCTCTGTAGTTTCTGTGGGGTCAATGTCTGCTCCCCCAGTGGATCCAGCAGTGGATCCTTATGCAGGAGGAATGCTTTTGGCTTCTTTGTAATAAGGAAAAGCACAGTGAAAGACGCCTGCTTGATGTTGTGGGTGGAGCTTAGGTCAAGGGTGAACAGCTGTGTCCTTGGCAGGTACAGGTCAGTTGAATGGTGTGTTCAGACTCTGTCCCCTCTTGAGGCAGGCAGTGCTGCTCTCCTTTCCTGGCATTTCTAACTCATAGCATATGTTCAGCAGCTGGTCAAAGGAGGTGATTGTTCCACTCTGCACTTGTCACAGCACTAATCCTGTCTAAGTTCAAGAAGCCTGGGGACAATGCTCTCAGGCACATGGTGGAGTTCTTGGAATGTCTGTACAGGGCCAGGAGCTGGATTCAAATCTTGATGGATCCCTTTCAACTTGGTGTATTCTGTGATTCTATGCCAGCTTGCAAACCCAGACACCCAGACCTTCAACGCAAACTGTTGCTGATGCTCCCTCTGTGTCCTTTTTCACTGCCACAGAGTTTTCACTTGTTTTTCCTCCTCCCTGCAAACTCCTGCACCTCTCAAACTGTTCTCTCTGTTACCGTAGGTCTTCTTGAGCTGAAAGGATGAAAATTGGCAACTGGAAAATCACTGTCACTGACGTGAGCTTTATCCTGACTTCTGGAGTCCCAGTTGATGTTGTTGGGCATATGAGTCTACAAGAGTGTCCCCTGTCCCTGTCCATGGTTTAGGCAGCGGTTGGACATGCATCACTGTAAGGGTTACATGATTTCAGTGCTGGTGGTGACACTTTCCCAGTGCAAGGGGGTTAACTGCAGAATGGAGCTGCTTATCTAAAATGATCCAGAATTCCAGATCCCCTCCCACCCTGAGAGTGTCTTCCCGTTCCCTCTTTTTGTGCTGGGCAGCACTATCCCTGGGTTCCCTCATGCCAGATCAGTCCCTGCCCTCCCCACCACCATTTGCTTCCATCACGCAGCTGCCCTGGGATCACCCTGCATCTGACCTCTCTCCCTTTTGCACACTGTAATTCCAGAGCGGGATGGTCGGCCAGCAAAGCTGCAATGTCGTCCCTGACGACCTCCAGTGAGGGAGAGAACTCTGCTCCCAGGTTTGTTGTCGGTTCCAGAGATGACGAGACAGAATTTCTGGGATCAAACATGAAGACAGATGAAACTGATTTCTTTGAAGATGATGAAGAGGAGGAGTCGGTAAGGAGGTCCCAGCATTCTGGGCTGGAACACCTGTGCGGAATTCCTGGGTCTCAGCCAGGTTTTGCATGGTTACTGCTGGGGTTGCAGGTAGCTGGGACTGCAGGAGACACAGCACCTGGCTTTGTGGCACAGCCGTGGGACACAGCAGTGGCATTTATGGCAGGACACATTACATCATGCTGCTGTACTCACTGCCTCAGGAAATCCAGCTTTTTTGCTTGCAGGTTTCATTTGGGAAAACTAGTGTATATCTTTGTTCTAGAGCCTTAACCTGACACTCCTGTAAATCTTTCTATTTCACCAGGGAAATTTTTGGGGAAAACTCTTGACACCTGTGAAAAGGGCAAAGGTGTCTCTGCAGAGAGAAAAACGTTCATTTTTTTCTGTAACCTCCAGGAACAGGATGCAGAGAAAATGATCTTTAGCTCCTGGCTGCTTTTGGCCCCTATTCAGTGTTATATTAAATGCTACTAAACTGATCTCTGTCTTCCCCTCTGTCAGCCTCCAGAGCGGCAGATTGTGGTGGGAATCTGTGCCATGACCAAAAAGTCCAAGTCAAAGCCCATGACACAGATTCTGGAACGTCTGTGCAAGTTTGAGTACATCACAGTGGTGATCATGGGGGAAGATGTTATTCTGAACGAACCAGTGGAAAACTGGCCCTCTTGTGACTGCCTGATATCCTTCCACTCCAAAGGTGACACATCTGTAGCAGTCCTTAGACTGCTTGAGCTTGTGGGCAAGGGAGTTTCCTTTCAGCCTTCCCCTCTGTCCTCACCCTCTATTTCAGGATTCCCCCTGGATAAGGCAGTTGCTTATGCCAAGCTGTGCAAACCATTTCTGATCAACGACCTTGATATGCAGTATTACATCCAGGACAGGTGGGTGTCTATGAGCTGCTAAAGCCCCTTCCCTCTTCCTCTGATTCTTCTCAGCATGCTGTGGAATCTTAATTTTTCTGGTCACAAAGGAGTGAGATGAGGAAGAAGGGGACCTCAGCAGTGGCTTTTTGGGGTTTCTCCAAAGCATGGAGGGGAATGGCTTTGAGGGTAAAACCATTGAGACCATGTAAAATCATGCTTTGTTTTGTGGGGTAAATGTCTTGTAAGGAGTGGCTGGGATGTAGGGAATGGAAGAGTTCTCACAGAACAAGGCTGCCACAACTAAAGCAAAAAGACTAGTCTCTAAGCAGGAGAACCAAGTGGTGAGATGGGGCTCTGGGTCAGAAATTGGGAGCAAGGCTGGGTCAGAATCTGTGGAACCTGTGTTGATCAGAGACATTAGGTTTCTCAGTCATCTGTTGGTAGAGGCCACCAGATGATGTGGCCATGTACTTGAGCTTCTATAGCCAGGCTGCTTTGGCTGTGTGTGAGCAGGGCTCCTAACAGATCCTAAACCTCCTGCCCTGTCTTTGGGGTGGTGAGCAGTGTTATGTGGGTGCTGGCAGGCATCCCATGGTGTAACTAGGGAAAGAACTGGGGTTTGCCCCTTGACACGAGATGAAAGAAGGCTCCTTCTGCTTCTGCCAGGCCTGTGCACTGGACAGCTTGGCATGACAAGGCACTCTCCAAGAGGATGGGTCTGGGCAGGTGGTGTGTACTGGATGTGCTGCTGTGCTTTGGGCACATGCTAATAATTGAGTGTCCATATTTAGGTCGGGTAGAGATTTATTCTTGGGCCCCTGTGTCCAGAGCAGGACTGAGGCAAACTCTATAGCCTGTAGGACTCATCCAGAAAGCATATGCTGAGAAGTAGCTGCAGTCTTGATGTTTTTTGTGTTCATCTGACTGCATTCTTCATCAGTGGGAGTAAAGTCTTTCCCTTGGTGTGTACTGAGGACCTTCTAAACTATTCTGACACTGCTTCTGTCCTCTTCAGGCGTGAAGTGTATCGGATCCTTCAAGAAGAGGGAATAGACCTGCCCCGCTATGCTGTGCTCAATCGGGATCCTGACAGACCAGAAGGTCAGTGTCCGAATTCTACTGAAAGCCATTTCCCCAGGCTCTGCTATTTAAGATGGTCTGCAGAGCACAGATACTGGCAGGCACCTCAAAGAAGCCTGACTCATTAGTCTCTTAGGTTTTTTCGTGGGCAAAGGTCCCAGAAGCAAAACAAACTGATGGACCTGGGCGGGGCTGTGGCTCTGCACTAGAACTGTCTCACCTTTCCTGATATGCTGCTGCTGTACTCTGTCTTCAGAGTGCAACTTGGTGGAAGGAGAGGACCATGTGGAGGTAAATGGAGCTGTGTTCCCAAAGCCATTTGTGGAGAAGCCAGTCAGTGCTGAAGACCACAACGTGTATATTTACTACCCGACATCAGCAGGAGGGGGCAGCCAGCGGCTGTTCCGTAAGGTGAGGAGGGGTGTCTGGAGCTGGTGTTGGAACCAGCAGATTTGAGACCCATGTGGCTTCAGGAAGGAGTGTTGGGACAGGTGAAGGGGAAAGGAAGGTTTTGTGTAGGGGAAGTTTAGACCTTCTTAGAACTTTTAGTTCAACTGCATCTACCTGGGAACCACAGAAGGATGTATTTTAGTGGTAGTGGTGACTTCACCTTCCCCATCCTCTTGGTGACCTTTATCCTGCAGACATGGAGCACTGTGTCCCTTTCTGAATTGTATGCTGATTTATCCTGGGTTTATCAAGATGAATTTTTCAAAAAAACTACACTCCTGTCATTTAACATCATTCTTGCCCTTCCCATTTAGTGTAGCTTGCACACGTGATAAAAGCAGTATTTATTCATAGATTCCACAGAAAATCTGCCCTTACTCACTTCCCCCACCTTGACAATGAACAGTTATAGCTGTGATATATCTTTTTTCCAATCAGTTACACATCTGGCATGAATAATCCTAAAATGATTGTTCTCTTAGGTGAGATACATGTATGCCTCTTGAGGTTGTATCCAAAGTCTTACTAAAAATGAAAACAACATCATCCTCGATGTCGATAAAATCAATCATGGTCCTAGAAGGAAATTAAATTGGTTGTAATATCACCTGTCATAATTTATTTTCATTTGCGTATTAGTTAGGCTCCTTACTTTGTAGGTCTTTGTTCACTTTTTTTTGTTCTATATCCTTGAAGTGATTGGAGACAAATTAATGGTCTATAATAACTTTTTTCCTCTTTAAAGCCTGGAAAATGACATACTCACTGCCTGCATTTTGGTCTCTTTTGTCCGTAAATAAGTGTGCTATAACGTTAGGGGGGCCTGAGATGCTAATCCATTAAATTTGCTAAATTCTCTACATATGGGATGAAACTTCTGCTTTTCTGCTTCCATCTAAGAAAAGGATCCCTGTGCTCTTTCCTGAGGTGTTTATTCTGTGCTTTCAGATTGGCAGCCGGAGCAGTGTGTACTCCCCAGAGAGCAGTGTGAGGAAGACAGGCTCCTACATTTATGAGGAGTTCATGCCTACAGATGGCACTGATGTAAAGGTGAGGAAAAGCCTGGAATGGTGCCTTCCTTTGTCAGGCCTGGGGGGAGCTGAAGGTTCAGCAGTTCTGCTTAGTCCTACTTCGGCTCTGGAATGTGTGTTTAAGCTTTGAGGTGCTGACTGCGCAGTTTCAGCCCCAAAGTGGGGAGCGGATGCTCTGTAGATCGCACCAAGAGGAATGTGTGAGACCATCTCATCTCCCTTTCTGTGTTTGCAGCAGAAATACCTTCTGGAAGCTGCAGTTAGTCTTGGTGGCTTTGTCAGGTGTACTCACTCTAATTCCAGGTGTACACTGTTGGGCCGGACTACGCCCATGCAGAGGCTCGCAAATCCCCTGCTTTGGATGGGAAAGTGGAACGAGACAGTGAAGGGAAGGAAATTCGTTACCCAGTCATGCTGACTGCCATGGAGAAACTCGTTGCCCGTAAAGTCTGTGTAGCCTTTAAGGTCTGTATTTTCTTTCCTGTGCTAGCAGGACTCCACAAATGTCTTGTATGTGTCAGGGTTGGTGTTAAAACTTGTCATCCTGGCATGTCTCAGTCATGGCAATCCTCCATGCCTAATGCCAGTTGTTGGTCCTGATGGCTGTAGCACTTTGCTGGGCAGAGGTGACTGGGAAGGCAAGAGGGCCTGGAGGAGTTGCCCTCTGGGCTGGTAGGTGCTTGGTGTCCCACATACATCTGAGCATTTAATACTGGATCCTGAGCATGCTGCTCTCTATCTGACCTGTGCTCATCCTGTCTTGACTATTTCCTGCTTTTGTTTATGTGTAAAATTTGGTCTTATTTTCTTGTTTGGTTTTTTTTTAGTTTCTTTTTCTTTTTGTATTTTGGTACTTGTGTTTGGTTCTTTTGTTTGTTTAGGCTTTTTGTTTGTGTGGCTTTGTTTTTTTTTTTAGTTCTTGGGTTTTTTAATATGGCTCTGGTGCAAACTGATGTTTTATTTTACAGTTGGGTAGAGTGATTAAGAGTCTAGGTATGGTTCCATGACGTGTTCAGCAGTGTCAGTGGAAGAAGAACTGGACTCCCTGTTCCTGCTCCACTGCAACTGGCACCCCATGCAGTTGGGCTGATGCAGATTTGGTCTCTTTTCTACTTTGTAGCCTTTTCCATTTAGTGATGGTGTCTTTGCCTGCAGCACTTCTTGTCTGTGCTTGTCAGTCTGGTTCAAAATCACTGGATTTGAGAAGAAGAGCAGGATATCCAAGAGCTGCTCTGTTTCAGGTCTTTAGACCTCTGGGAAGTCGGGGGTTGGCTCTGGTGGCTTCATCTGGGGGCTGGTAGTTAGGGCCTTTGGTTCAGCAGTAAGGTCTGACTAATGGCATGTCTTCACACTTGTTCTAGGCTTGTGAGGTGGGCATGGAGTGGGGGATGGCTGTAGCATCAGCAGGGCAGTGTTGGCTGGCTCTGTGTATTCCCTGCTAGCAGGGTCACTGCTGTCCCCCACTGCTTCCTTCCTGTGTGCCTAAGTCCCATATCCTCTGCTTCCTCCTGCAGCAAACTGTGTGTGGGTTTGACCTCCTGCGGGCCAACGGCCACTCCTTTGTTTGTGATGTGAACGGCTTCAGCTTTGTGAAGAACTCCATGAAGTATTATGATGACTGTGCCAAAATCCTTGGGTATGAACAATCTGAGTTTTGATAAGGTTAAGGTAACTCCCGGCAAAGTAAAATGAAATGTGGAGTCTTGGTCAGTATGTCAGAGAAGTCTGCAAGTGGTTCTTGTGAGCCATTTGCTCAGAAGGTGAAAGCTTGGCTCTTGGAGGAATGGGTTATTTTCAAGCCCTGGAGCTCCTGCCTGCATTGACATTAGCTGTCTTTGTCTACAGCTAGATGTATATTCCAGGACTTTTCATTGCCTGCTAAGCCCAGTTGTGGTATTGGTGATGTGAGGGAAACTGGTACTCCTTTGGGGTGCCCTGACTAGCCCACAGTGTGATAGGTGTCTCTGCAATGAAAGTGAGGGGAAATTCTGTAACTCTCTTCACATCTTTCAGCAGGACTGCTAAGGAGGAGGTGGAGAACCAAGGGAATGGATTTTCTTGTGAGTGTTGCTTTTTGATTTCTTCCAGAAATATAATCATGAGGGAGTTGGCTCCCCAGTTTCATATCCCCTGGTCCATCCCAACAGAGGCAGAAGACATCCCCATTGTCCCCACAACTTCAGGCACCATGTGAGTACCTGCCATCCTCTCAAAAGGATGCCAGTGATGAATGCATGAGGGACAAAGTGTGAAAAACCCTGTCCAAGGGCCTGACACCACTAGCAGCATGGCATCCTCCAGCTGCTGTGCTGCTTACAGCCCTGAAATGCCTGTGGAAAGGCTTAGGTATGCACATGGAAATTGTGACAGGTTGGAGATTAGTTGTAGGTTTGATGAATGCAGATGAGCAGTAACTGAAGAAATTACAGAAACTGCTTACATGGCTTTCAGAGGTCCAGATTCTTCATCAGGACAGGAAACAGATCGGGACAGATACTGTCCTGTAGCTGGCTGCTACATGGTGAAAGTGCATGTTGAGCTACCAGTGAAATAGGTGGAAACACTTACCTGAAATATTCATAATTACCCATATGCTTGGCAGCCCCTCATTCGATACCTTTGGCCTTTCTAGTTTTCTAGCACATGAGGCTAGAAGATCAAAGGCAAAAGTTCCTTTGTGATCCTCAGCACACTTGTACACTGGTATGAAACCACTCAGCTTAGAAGTGTCTGCAGAGCTCTGACTCCCTCTGCAGCTGTGGCACTTGTGTCTGATTTAGTCTGGGAGAAATTCTACCCCTGCTGAGGAAAGCAGGTGGCAGAAGAATGGAACTGAAAGAACAAGGGGAAGCTACTTCCTGGTGGCAGTCTGGAGTGTAAGGGTGCATTTGTCATCTTTGTCTTGTGTTTCCCCAGGATGGAGCTTCGCTGTGTTATTGCAGTCATCCGTCATGGAGATCGCACCCCAAAGCAGAAGATGAAGATGGAAGTGAAACATCCCCGGTAAGAGTCAAGGGAAGAAGGTGCTGTGCTCCTGGGAGGGGATGAGGGCCTATTCTCTAAACCAGAAGCAGGATCAGAGGGCTGAGTGCATAGGAGGCAGTATTTTTCCTGGCCCATCCAAGCAAATGCTTTCTGACCAGTTGAGAGTGCCTCCTTTCCCCACAAGGATCCTGACACCTTCTGTGTGAACACTGGAAGGGAAAGTGAAGGTGTGGTAGGTGCTGAAAAGGGAAGTGCCCCACTAAATGGAAAGCTAGTATCTGCTTACTGGTTGTATTTTGAAAAACACTTGCGTTTCCAGAATTTTTGAAGCACAGGAAAGAGCCAGCAGCCTGCTTGTTCTCCCTTGAAGAATAGAGACTGAATGCACATGTAGGAATGACCCTCCTTGTATTATTGAAACAGCAGAAAATGGATCAGCATTCTTTTTTGTCTGTTCAGGTTCTTTGAATTATTTGAGAAATATGATGGTTACAAGACAGGAAAGTTGAAGCTGAAGAAACCAGAGCAGCTACAGGTGAGGAAGTACATTCTGGGTTTGCTGTGTGGAATATGCAGGTAATACAGATCCTGGTGTGAGGCCGTTCTTTGGGAGGGTGCAAACCTCCAAAAGGGCAACAGTCTGTCACACGGATGCTCTCTGTCTCATTCTGCACGCTGTGCACACTCAGCTGGGTGGCAGCAGGAGAGCAGAACGGAAACTTCTGCTGCCTGATGCGCACACTGTCAGATGGAGATGACCTGATATGGCTTGTCCACCAGTTGTGGTTGCCTCTGGTGACAGATGGGTTCATGCTAGGGAGTGGGGCAATTGGAGGTACCTGCTTGGTTCTCAACTGGGCTGTAGTACAGCATGGGGATGAAGCAAACTGCAGTGTGAAAGTTTGTCTTGCCTGAGCTGTGTCTTAAGAAATGACATGCCTCTGAGGAGTGTCTGCATGGACTTCATTCTGGGTGAAGCTGTTAGGAGGCCTTGCAGGAGTACACTGGTGAGTCTGAGGCAGAATTGCTCTCTGCTTTCCAACAGGAAGTGCTGGACATTGCACGGCAACTTGTGGTGGAGCTTGGAACCCACAGTGATTGTGAAATCGAGGAGAGGAAATCCAAACTGGAACAGCTGAAGAGTGTCTTGGAGATGTAAGCATCCCTATCTTAGGGCACTGTGGGTTTGCCTCAGAGCATATGATATGGAAGAAGCTGTGCTGCTGGTGTCCTGGCCAGGTGGTGCCCAGAGATTGGGGTCTCCTCTGTCCTCTGTTAGTAACTGTACATGAAAAGCATCATGTTCCTCACTTCTACTCCTTGACATCTAAACCCGGATGATCTTTGTCCCAAGTGTGTCTGGTGTTTGGCTAAACAACTTGAGACAAAACTGAGCTTTCTTTGCTGCAGGAGAGGAACTGGGGTCTTGGAGGGACCATGTTGATACGAAGCATTTTGATATAATTGGAATAAAGCTTGTTCTAAATAAAGTTGTCCTAGTGCTAAAAGTTTAGCAAAAAGGAGCACGGAAAACATGAAAAGAAGTTTGTATCCTGTGAGGTTTTGTACAGTCAAAATAAAAATATGGTGGTATTGACAGCTTCTAAACAAAACAGGGTTCCTCTCAGAACTGCAGCTTAGTTATGGCACACACAGCCAGCATCTGTGTTCAGGCCATGTCTCTGAAGCACAGAGGAGGACTTTTTGCTGTGATTCCCTTCTCTGCTCTTTCTGCTCATAAGAAACACGGTTATCCTCAAAGCATCTGTCAGAGTGGTTTTTTCTGTGATCTCATTAATCCACTTGTTAAAGATGTAGATAGAGTTTAAAGCCCTAGTGAGGAATGACAGCATAGAGTACTCTTGGTAGAAGAGCAAGGGAATGGATCTTTGAATTTTGTTTGAGGGAGCTGTTTGGCTTTTTGTGGGGGTCTGTGCTGGGTCACAGGGAGATGTCAAAAGTCATGTTCCATGGCTACGGGTGTTGTAGCAGAAAGTCTCTTGCTTCTGCTGTACTTCTGCTATGTACTGCCTGGGGGCCTCGGGGCAAAGGTTGGGTGGAGTTGATTTGTTTCAGTTTTTTTTCCTCCATCCCTTGTGACAGGTATGGACATTTTTCTGGCATTAACCGTAAGGTTCAGTTGACCTATCTGCCTCATGGACATCCAAAAGCTGCGAGTGAAGATGAAGGTAAAGAAACCTGATATTTAAGCTCAGAGTTCAGGTGTGAGTGTAGCTACCCTACCTGTATAGGCCTCCGGACATGCAAGCAGAATTGGTGACCCATATCTTATCTTTGCTCACATCGTAGGAAGGATTGGAGGGGTGCCAGTACACCCTGGCTGTCTCTACAGGGCTTGCACTTCAGTTTTGTGAATGTCAGTCTATACCTTCAAAAACTAGTGACTCTGAATTTCCTACTTGCTGATTTGTTTCATGGGGAATTTGGGTCAGGCTTGTGTTGAGAACACTCTGCAAGGTGCTGTTGACTTCCTCCCATCCTCTCCCTCTGCAAGCTCAGGTATGAGCTCTGATGTAGTGAATACCTGTTTGTCTCCTAGAAGCTCGACGAGAGTCCTCCCCCTCCCTTCTCCTGGTGCTTAAGTGGGGTGGAGAGCTGACCCCAGCAGGAAGAGTCCAGGCTGAGGAGCTGGGGCGGGCCTTTCGCTGCATGTATCCTGGAGGCCAAGGTGAGTTTGGTCAGGTACCTCTGGTCCTGCCCCATGGCTGCCAGGCTGCCCAGCCCAGGTAAGGGCTGCTCAGGCGTCTGTGGCTGTGTACAGCCTCTGGGATTAGTTTTTGTTCTTTTGAGTTGGCATGGTAGGGATAAAAAATTCAGGTGGGTTTTGCACCCAAAGATCCCTAAGCTGACCCGAGAGGTCTGCTGTTGAACTTCAGTATGGCTTGGAATGCAGCAGTTTTCTTTACATAATGTGCCAGGATTCAAGAAAGACAGGTGGTTCTAATAGGGTACATTCTGATGCAGCAAATACAAAATTTGTGAATGGTTAACAAGGAATTTAGGTCAAATGTAGAGAGCAGAGGAGATCTGTCCTGCACAGAGAATTCTGCCCTGAGACAGAAGAATAGAGAGGTAACTTCTCCATATTTTCTGCACCATAATTCTGTGGTGCTAATATGCACATAAATCAGCAAGAGCTGATAGGGAAAAATACCAAATGCTGAGATTGCCTTTGAGTCAGGAATAATATACTGGATTGATCCAGTGAGCCCAGTAATAGATATGCTTGTCTTTTAATTAATTCAGTTTAATTAATTACATTTCGAATTAATTAAGCATATTTAAATTGGATTGGAGAATATTTCCTTCTAGAATAAGAAAGAGTTACCTTTGGTGGAAGAGAATCGGGTCAGGGGACACTTAAGCAAGCTGGACATACATGAACCCAAGGGCCCTGACAGGCTGCACCCACAATGCCAAGGGAGCAGACAGGTGTCCCTGAAAAGATTCTCTTTGAAAGGTTCTGGGGATTGAGGGAGGTGCCTGAGGACTGGAGGAGAGGAAGTGTCACTCCTAGCTTCAAAACTGACAAGAAGCAAGGCCCAGGGAACTGCAGCCAGGTCAGCCTCAGTACAGTCTCTGAGCTGGTAATGGAGCAGCTAATCTTGGAGGTCATTCCTGAGTACATGAATAGGTGCAGGTGACTGTGAGTAGTCAGCATGGATTCACAAAGGACAGTAATTAACTGTCTTAACTAACCTGATAACTTCCTACAGGGAAGTGACCCCTGTGCTTAGATGAGAGTCATTCTGAACAACGGCTTTGTAGACTTCTGCTCCATGTGGTCATTCATGCAGAGGGAGAGATCTTGTTTTGCAGGGAAGTGCTATGTTCCTGAGTAGCATTTGGTGCCTGTCAGCTTTCCCAAGACATACATCTGACTTCTGGCTGGTGCCTGTCTGTCAGGGTGTTTCTCTGAGTTGTGAGCTCCGAGCTGGGAGTAGTGTTCCTGTCTTGTCATGCAATGTAACTGGGTACTGTGCAGAATTGCCCTGGGATTCCAGGTGGCAGCAAACCATAACCACTGCACTGTCTTTGGAGGTCAGACTCGAGAGCTTCATGAGTTACTTTCCTCCATTACTGATCTGACTCTTGAGGTTGACTCAGACATGAGAAATAAACTGGCAACTTGTGCCATGAGTTAATTGTAGCTGTACAGGATCTGCTTTGGAAACTTCCCTGCAGAACCACCCTCCCTGCAGCTCTGAGGGCTGCAGGACCTGCTCTCATGCAGAAAACAAGCAGAAGGAAATGATTTTTTTTTTTGTGCATCTTCATTCTGCGCCAGGGTATTTAGGCTATCAGAACTACTACAGGGTGTTCAGTAGAGTTTGCTGCAGAATTTGGGCAGCATCAGACTTGACTGGTGAATGCTCATTTTTTTCCTCAAAATGAACTTCCCAATTTAAGCAAAGATTTTGTTACAGTTCTAGTCCTTGTTTATAGCTAGAACTGTCTATTTTGGAGCAGCATAAGTGCTGCCTATGCAAGTGACTAATTCTCTGCATAACTTTGTTACTACAATAAAGTTTGTTTGTCTAAACCAGTGTATTCAAGTGATAATTTTGCAGGTGTGAGATTATGAATTTTGAGTTGTCCTTGGTTCCAGGTGATTATGCTGGTTTCCCTGGCTGTGGCTTGCTCAGGCTGCACAGCACTTACCGCCATGATCTCAAGATCTATGCCTCGGACGAGGGGAGAGTTCAGATGACAGCAGCAGCTTTTGCAAAGGTCTTTTTTCTCTTTTGGGCATCCATTTGTTCTGCTTCATTACTCTTAAAATGTGCTGGTTCTAAAGGAAAAACTCTGGTGATGAGGAAGGAGTTTTCTTAGGATCTTCCCCCTCTCTGTTGGATGGACGGGGTACACTGTGCTAATAGCAGGCGTATGGGGCAGTACTGAACATCTGGTGTTATCTACACACACCTTTCACCTCTAATGTCCTGTCCAGGACAGGACACTCAGTCAAGAAGGAGTTATGTATGGATTATTGCTGGTGCTTGATCTTAGAGCACACCATATGTGCTGCTGAGTAGCGATTGCCTATAGAATTAATGCTTCTGGGGTGGCTGTCCAGCCAGATGGGTTATTCCTTGCCTGCTGAATTTAAAAGGGGAGTGAAATGTCTTTGGTGCAGTATGGGATGGAGACTGAGGAGAAGACAGGTTCATTTGCTGCTGAAGCCAAGGGGAATCCTGTGGTGGCCTTAGCTGCTCTTTGGAGCAGCACTGTATCAACATTTTCAAGCAAACTGAGCCTCTTGATAGTTGAGCCTGCTCAACAGTTGCCTGGACAAATCTGGGGATGCCGCAGGCAGAGCTGTCCTTTGCTTGAACAGCTCTAGAACCATGCCAGAGTCATCTCTGACTGGAGGGGATGTTGCTGTAAAACTGCCCTTCAAGGACAGTTGAGATTTCACTTAAGTTGCCTGAGTTCTGGCTATGAAACTACCAGAGTTTTTGTTGCTTGGGTTGCACAGACTTGAAATCTTGTCCTGTGTGGTGTGGCTTTAGGGTCTGCTGGCCCTGGAAGGAGAGCTGACCCCCATCCTGGTGCAGATGGTGAAAAGTGCCAACATGAATGGTCTGCTGGACAGTGACAGTGATTCCCTCAGCAGCTGTCAGCACAGAGTAAAGGCGCGACTGCATGAAATCATGCAGAAGGATGCTGAGTTCTGTGAAGAGGATTTTGAAAAGGTAAAGCACCAGTGTAGCTTCATTGCTCGCTGTATCTGAAAGGAGAATAGCATTGCTCCAGTGGTTTGTGTGAAGTGTGTGGTATGTGATCAGTGGTTTGGTTAGTTTGAGATCAGTTCTGTTCAAAATGACTGGATATGTATGGACGTGTGCAGGTTAATAGTCCTTGCCCTTCTTTGAGTGACAGTCCTCAGTGTTACTCTGCTGTCCTCTTCAAGACAGATCTTGGTGCCTTTCTCTTCCTTCAGAATTCCCAGTTCACTTTGTTCTTGTGAGTATGCTAAAAGAGCTCCTGCATGTTGCTTAGAACAATCCCAGCTGCTGTGGGCACGGAGTGTGCCTCACTGGATTCTAGATCCGTGCTCTATGCACATATGAACAGACCTTTTGGTTACATATTGTGTGTCCTGTCAGGTTCTGGTAGCTGCAGAGTAGAGAGCATGGACTGTATCCAGCACAGCAACCAGTGAAAGCACTATTGCTGCTTCTCCAGCAGGTCCCCAAAATACTGTTTTTCCCAGGCTCTGAAATGTGATTACTGGACTGGAATCCTTTAAGGAACATACTTAACATTTCAGAGAACTACTTAAAATGAAGCCCCTTTGCTCAAGCACAGAAGCAAAATGAGACAAGAGTGGATAATTTTAGGTGGAGGGATGTCCAGTCTGATGGGAGCAGCTGTTCGCTCCCTCTGAGTTTGATCCTGAGGAAGATTTTAAGACATGCCTGACTACTCCTGGAAATAGGCCAGCCTATTGTGCTCAGCTGAAGGCCAGCTATTGTCTAAGTCAGAAGGCAGTATGGCTGCAAAAGACAGGTATTTTGCATTCCCCCTCTGTGAAGACTAACTAATGTCTTCTGGAATCTTCTTTCAGCTAGCACCTACAGGCAGTGCTTCTCTGCTCAACTCCATGACATTTATCCAGAACCCAGTTGAGGTCTGTAACCAGGTGTTCACCCTGATTGAGAACCTCACCTCCCAGATACGAAAACGTCTGGAAGACCCAAAATCTGCAGGTGAGCAACAGAATTGGAAAGGGTCTGGAAGAGATTAATTTATTGGTACATCCTCAGAGCTTCCAAACACCACTAGGACTTGTGTTTGTCTGTAGCAAAGAAATGGTAAATTACATTGTAATTCTGTTTGTGCTATTGATGTGGAAGGCTCCACTTTCAATTACTGTTAATTGAGAGCTGTAATGTAAAGGAAATGGGATGTGCATCTTGGTTTCCAGTAAATATAAACAGCAGCAGTATAGCCTGGGGGGCTATGCCTGTGTTTTTTCAGGCCTTTTCCGGAGACTGTAAACAGAAAGTTTTTCAGTCACAATTTGCTCATCTCAACTTTCCCAGTAACAGTACAGAAGTTTTACTAAGGCATCTTGGGGGCCTGCCATGGGATCTATGGCAGACCTGAGTAACTGGGCAAATGGTTTCACTTTTCTCAAGCATTTTAGAAGTAGCCTGTTGCTGCAGGTTAAAACTCCTGCAGCAGTTCCAGTGGCTTTTCCAGACTAGGATTTCTGTGGGTGACACAAGAATTGGAGCCCTTTCATGCTGGGAGAAGTCATTCACAGCTGTAATTTGAAATCTCTGCAGCAATAACCATGGTTTTGTGATACTGTGGTTCTAGGATGTGGATGTTGTTTGGTGTTCTCTGCTCTTTAGACCTGCAGCTGTACCACAGTGAGACTTTGGAGCTGATGCTGCAACGCTGGAGTAAGCTGGAGCGAGATTTCCGCATGAAGAACGGGCGCTATGACATCAGCAAGATCCCTGATATATATGACTGCATCAAGTATGATGTACAGCACAACTGTGCACTGAAACTGGAAGGCACAACTGAACTCTTCAAGCTCTCCAAAGCCTTGGCAGATGTGATCATACCCCAGGTGTGGCCTGTATGATGATGCCTGTGGTGCCAATTTCTGACCCTTTGCCTTTGTGTTTTGTCTCGATTCTCTTGCACATTAACTACTAAGGCAGCCTATCACAGTAGGGTATTTCTCAGATCTGTCTCAGTGTTTGTATAAGGCCAAAGCCATTTATGATTTAAATGTGGTAGGGCTGGGCTTCTGGTTGAGGATTCTGGCAGGGTCAGAGTAATGAGCAGCTGATGCAGTAGCTTCTCCGTGTTTGTTGTAGTACATCACAGCACAGCTCCAATCTGTGTGTGTGTGCTACAGCAACATTCCGTGCTCTCCACACATAGGGTTGTGGAAGTGAAGGGAGATTTCTGTGTTAAAGTTCTGACACGTTTGTTATTATTGTCAAACTAGGACTTGTTCAGTTTCCAAAGCTGAGATGCTTCTAGCAAAGTTTAATTTATATGTGATGAGTTTCTACCAGCAAGGTCCAGCTGCCCCTGTAGAGCAGAAGTGGTCTAAACTTTTTCAGTGTTGCTGGTGATGTGCAGTCTGGCTGTTTTCAGCATAGCACTGCAGTTTTTATCTTTGTCAATAGTGGCTGTTGTTTATAGCTCATGCTAGCTCAGGGTGTAAGTTTGCATGTCATGAGATCTGAGATTTGCTCATGGTCCTTCCACCTCTCAGCTATTGAAGGATACTGATAGTCATGTCCAGACATAATTGGGGTTCTTGGAAAAGTCTCAGTCCTCTGTTACCCCCTGCAATAAGTGGGAAAAAAATGGTGAAAAGTGTTGAGTGACATTTCTCTTCCTGTCCTTGCTTAACCAGTGGTGCTGCAGAGTGGGCTGCTGAAGTTGTGGCCTTTTATGTGAGGATGTGGCAAAGAACCAGGGCTTAGGGTATCTGTTGTTTTGTTCCTGCAGGAATATGGGATTAATAAGGAGGAGAAACTGGAGATTGCTATTGGCTTTTGTCTTCCTCTCATTAAAAAGATCCAGCTGGACCTACAGAGAACTCATGAAGATGAGTCTGTCAACAAACTACATCCATTGTAAGGCTTGTGCTGCATGCTGCTGGCAGTGGAGAGGGCAGCTATGGAGCAGGGGGTGGTTCCCATGGCAAAAGAGTGTACTGTTGTGGAAGGAGGTACTGAGCATACACTGAAAGACCCTCCAGGAGGGAGGCATGTTGGTGCTCCCAGAGCTAGAAGGCAGATGGAGAAAGCACATTGAGACTGCTGACCAGAAGCACAGGGCCACAAAGGCTTGTACCCATTGTAGCTGGATGGTGATGCCTCATCCAGGCATTTCCCTGAAAAGGAGACCAGTGTAGAGTGATGAACCACCTACTATATGTCTCCATTAGAATTCCACAAAATCTGTTGCTCCTGTGCCCGCTACTCTCGTTGTTTGGTCTGTCCTGCTGCCTTTGAGTTTCTCAATGTGGGGCCATGTCATTCCATTAAGTGTACAGAAATGCTAATGTGTGATAGATGGCAGTTCATTGGCAGATGAGTAACTGTCGGCTGATTTTGGTTTAGGTACTCAAGAGGAGTTCTGTCACCGGGTCGCCATGTTCGAACACGGCTGTACTTCACCAGTGAGAGCCATGTGCACTCCCTGCTCAGTATCTTCCGCTATGGGGGGCTACTGGATGTAAGTGTCCCAGCAATGCTCACAGAGTAAGCCTCCCTACTTTTTTCCTGTAGCCTTTTCCAAGATGGACAGTGTATGTTTGTAGGTTACCCCTTAAGCCAGCTCTGCCACAAATGCTGTGCATCAGTGGCATCTGGTTAGTTCCATCTCTGCTGTGTTTGCATGCTGCAGCTTCTTGCCTTTGTGGCATGTTGGAGGATTGTTCTTCCTCAGTGCCTCCCTTACTTGCACAGAGACATGTTTTCTCTAAGATCTGTTCTGCTGGTTTCAGGTGAGCAGACCACTTACTTGTCTAGGAGAAGAACAGTATGAGGCAGTGGGGATGAGTACTTCCTGCTTACTTCCTTCTTTTCTTCCTTTCTGCTTCCTTCAACCCTTTATTTTAAGAGCTTGGCCCTGTATTTATAGTCTTTATATCAATTCTAAATCAATAAAATCGGTTTTCTTACAGAGGAAGCGACTTGAGGTTGCAATTTCACAGGATGTGTTCTCTACCAGAGAGGCAGATGACACATTTTTAGGGATTAAAAATCGTCCAGCTCACCCTTCACTTGCTCTCTCTTCACCTGCTTCCTGAATTAATTGGTATGCAGACCCTGAGGAAAGCTCTGCTTTAAAGAAGATCTCTGATTTACCTTCCCATTTTTAAGCATGGTCTGAAATGCATTGAGAGTTTGGGTTCACTTAACAGGCACGATTTCTGTGGCAGTTTAGCATATCTGTAGACAGTGATCAGAAAAGTACCTCTAAATCACTCACTGAACAAGATGCTCCCTTATTCCGTGACTCAAGTGCACAAGGATGCTGTGTTGCCAAAACAGGAATATTTGGCTGCACCTGGGTTCTTTGTAATGGAGGGTTCAGTTCATGTCCATCAACGTGGTGATCGGCTCCACAGCATCATGGGTGGCACTTCAGGTGTGACCATTCCCCGGCAGTGCTGGGAGGCAGTGAAGAGTGGGCTGCCCTGCTGTGCGGAGCCCAAGGGTTCAGCGTTTCTCCACATTTTTCATTCAGTGTCAGGTAACAGCATTTCACTTGGTCCCTTACTTAGCACAGGTTCATCCCTTGTGCTCGTTTCTGTAGTTTGAGAATGGCTGTGTTTGGGAACCTGCTGTGGGCTCTGCTTGTCTCCAGTCAGTGTGGCACAGTGGCTTGCAACTCACATCTGCACGTGGGTGGCTTGGGCAGCTGTAGCATCCCTCTGTGCAGATGCTCCTCACTGCAAACACCCCACCACATTGCAAGGTCATTTCTTCCTGCAAGTTAAGCAATTTGTCCTGACAATGTTACCTTGTGGAGAGAGAAACTCACTCAGTCCCATTTCACTGAATGCTGCAAGGTGTCTGCTGTTGCTTATCCCGTGCAACTGTTTGTGTGTATATATCAGGAAAACAAAGACCAGCAGTGGAAGAGAGCCATGGACTATTTGAGTGCTATCTCAGAGCTGAACTACATGACCCAGATTGTTATCATGCTCTACGAGGACAACAACAAGGTGAGGGATAGGGCAGTAGGATACAATGCTTCCTGTCCTGTTGCAAGGCACAGTCCTCAGAGATGAGTTCAGTTGGAAGTCTGTAACTTGAGCTCTTGCTGCTTGTGGTCAAAGACAGATGGATCATTAACACAACTGCTAGTTTTTAGTTTATGTGGGAGCAGTGACCCAGTTAATGCTTGTTACATGTAAGCAGAATGAGCAGTAATACCCAACTTATGTAATTAATACTGACTATTTTGAAGGATTTCCTAGTGCAAAGTTATTTGCTGTTTTTAAGTATTAATTGCAACTGAGCAGTAGGAAAAATTAACTAAAATTGAGTGATACTTGATTTATATTTTTGAAATATATCTAGAAAATATCCAGAAATTCCACATCCATAAACTATTTTTTATTCTGAAAGCGTGCTGATATAGTTAGGGAAGTGTAAACTGGTATCTTCAGGAAGCAACGAGAATAATTTAATAAACAGCTAGAATGTAGAAGCTAAGGGTGCTGGCTGTAAGTAGATTTGCCACCAAACTGCATGTCCTGATTATCAGACCTTATGAATTGAGTCTATGCTGCAGGAGGTTGTAGTGGTGAGGGGAGCAGCCCCTTACCTCACACATTACAGAGTTGGAGCCTTGTATTCACAGAGCTGGTGAGAGTTTCTAATGTTAGAAGTGATGCATGTCAAAAAACTTGTGACTAGAACTCTCACAAGTGGTGTGGATGTGTCAGTCAGTCAAGATATCATTAGTGCCAGACACTGTAAAAGCTCTGGCTTCCTTAAAAAAGTGTTAATGAAAAATTATTGCTTAAATCTTGGAACAGCCTGACTGAAGGTCCAGTGGGGACCCAATCTCCCCCTGTCCTGGCATATGCTGGGTTTGCAGCAGGAGTTGGTCAGAAGTAGCTGAGGTTTAGGGGTGTGTTTGTATATATATATATATATACACATATATATACATATATATATACATATACATATATATACATATATACATATATACACATATATATATATATGTATATATATACATATATAGAGCCCGATTCTGTTACACTCTTCTGTGGCTGTTATCCCAAAATAGCAACAGTCAGAATGTCTCAGCTAGGTGCTGATCAAGGCTGTCCTTTTGGATGGGACAAACCTGGAGCCATTCTGTTCATGCTTGTTGCCCTTGCTTTTCGTCCAAAGGACAGGCTGGGATGTGTGCTGGCCAGCACAGCGGGGTGGGACCTTGGCCTGGACTGATGGTGGGATTAATTGGGTTTGTTTCTTTACCTATGTATTTACCTATTTGACCTGTGTTCACAGGACCCCTCTTCAGAGGAGCGTTTCCACGTGGAGCTGCATTTCAGCCCTGGCGTCAAAGGCTGCGAGGAGGACAGGAATATACCCACGGGGTTTGGCTTTCGGCCGGCCTCAGCAGAGGTAAGCGGTCACCTGGGCAGGAGCTACCAGCCCTGGGGGACACTTGGGCACTGTCCTGCTCTGTGTGGCCCTGCTGCAGAAGCTTCCTTGCTGGAAGGGAGCTGGCACATTGTGTCTGTGTCCCATTTGGGACTGTGAGTGCCTCCTGAGCTTGGCAGAGCAGGAGATCCAAGCCTGAAGCTGGTGTGGGGCAGCATGGGCAAAGGTCACGTGCCTGTAGACATGAGTGGAGTGTTTCCTTACGGCAGAACGAGGACAAGAAGGCAGACCAAGGCAGCCTAGAGGACCTCTCCAATGAGAAGGGCAGCGATGAGCCAGACCGTGCTCGGCAGAAGTCCCCGCAGCCCTCGGAGCCGGTCAGCATCCAGCGAAGGTCGCCGCTGGTCAGGAGCCGGAAGACGGGATCCATGGAGGTAACTGTGCTGTTGGTGCCCTTCCTTGTTCTTGCAAAGGCCTTTTGCTTGGTTTTATTTTCCTGGCATTTCTTTTAACACACCAGAGTCTGAGTTGATTCTGGGAAAGGATCTGCAGAAGGTAAAGAGGAATGTTGTGGAAGGCTGACCTCTGAAACTCTTCCTCATTGAGGAAGGACAGGAACACATGAGGAAGAGCAAGTAAAGAAAGTACGGAAATGCTTGAGAAACACAAGCATTATTTGGATTACGTGCTCAATAGAGGCACTGGTGTGGCCAGTATGAGATTACATGTAACCTCACCACCTAGCTATGATGACATCTTGCCTTCTGTTAGGCTCCAGTCTTTGCCTTTCACAAAGGCAGCTCCATGTTTCTCATTGCTCCATCCCATCTAGGATCTCATGCTGATCAGGGGTCCCTGCTCACTGGTGGATTCATTCAGGATGTTTAAGCCATCAGGGCTTAGAAATGTCCCATTCACTGATCTGGTGGAGTAACAGTAATTTTACTCTTTTAACCTCTCTCCTTCTGGGCTGTTCTGTGTCACAAGGCCAGTGGCACAGTCAGCAGGTGACTGTTACCTTCAGAGTACTCTGGAATTGTCGCTTTGTTCAGAGGAATTTCACAGGCATTTTTGCCATCAGTTTTCTGAACCAGAAAACAGCAGAGTTAATGTTTGAGGTATTTGTTAGCTGTCTTCCATCGCTGTATGTTTTTCACAATGTCACCTCTGCGTGCAGCACTCAGAAGCTCTTTGTGATAGGCACATACTAAGTTAAAGTGGATATGATTTCCTGCTGCTAAAGAAGGAAGGCTGTGTCCCAGGGATCTCAGCAAGAGTCTTGGGAGAAAAGATGCTCACTACATGAATCCCATCATACTTTACAAATTTCCACTGTTCCACAATCCAACAAAATCTTGAAATTAAAATTGAGCATTCGCTGTCACAATCCTAGCATTTGACTACCTTTGGTTCTTGAAAATGGTGATTTTAAGGAAGAGATATATATTTCTTTATCTTCAATTTATGTTTAAAGGCTTTTGATAGCAGTGGGTAACTTGGAGTATGGTGTTGATTAATTACACTGTGTCTTTGCAGGTGCTGTCTGAATCTTCTTCAAAATCAGGAGGTTATCGCCTCTTCAGCACTTATTCCAGGCAGTCTTCTGAGATGAAGCAAAGTGGATTAGGTACTGTACCTCACCTGTAACCAGCCTACTCACTTGTAGCTCTCTATTCCCATGGGCATTAGTCTGTGTTTCCACATACACATCTGGCTTGAGTTCCTTGTATGCCTCTGTGTGTTTCATGCCTTCTCTCAGTGTTACTGTTGAGATCACTGTAGAGACTGTCTTAGTCGGTACGTTTTATGTACAAACTTTTCCTTCAGCTGCTAGCAGCAGAAGATGGACTTTTTGTCCTTTTCAGTATGGGAGCAACAGGGCAAACTGCCTACCTGCAGGCTTGCCTCTGCTTCTCTATTGCTCTCATTTGATACGTTTCTCAACTTAGTAGGTAAAGATGATGTGAGAAGTAGTGTGCTTTCTGTTCAAGAAAACACTAATTTATATGCAAAGATATTCTTTGTGTGAGACAATTCCGTTTCTACCTTTGCTTCATAAAGATTTGTTGTATGGAATGTCACATACAGAATGTTTGATAGCTCTCTAATCGAGCTAAAGTCCTTGGTCAGCCATTCTTGTGGTAGCCAGTGGAAGAGAAGAGCCAGGGCATTTGACATTCTCTGTCCTTGATTGTTCCATTCCATGTCATTCTAACCTAAATTATGTCTGAACAGTTGAAATTCTTCCTGAAATATTTCTGCTAAAGCAAGATCTATTTTGAAACTGGAAAAGCTGTCTTTGCTGTCATGAGGTTCAGAGATGGCTGTGCAACCTGTGTCTTGAAGAGAGGAGGTGATAATATCCAAGTCATGCCCACTTTCTTTTTCTTTAAAACCATCTTAACATTGTAGCATGGCTGCAGACTTGCAGCAGTTCTGACTCATCACTCTGTTATATGGACAGCCTGCAGCCAAGAGACTTCTGAAAGGCCTGCTCATTTCTTTTCCACTTTTGAATGAGCAGTTCTTTGGAATCTAATTCTTACCAAGGAAAGAGAATTTTCTTCTCAGTGGTTAGAAAGTATCCCTGGAGTTTGCCAGCTATGTGTCCAGCCAGCTGGAAAAATCTAAATAGGAATGGCTGATGTGTATTATTTTCATAAAGGGACAGTAGCCTTGGCCATGGTAATTTTTGAATGTGTTCACTTATCTCTGCCTTTCCCAGTGCCACTGCAAGATTCAGTGAGCTGTGACAAACTGCTGTGCTTAGGCTTGAAGAAACCTGTGGCTATTTTGTGAGTCCATATGGATGAATGTGGGAATTTCTGAAATGGCACATAGTCAAGGAGGTGCATCTGCCTGGAGAATTACTGGGTACATCAAATGGCACTGCAAACTGGTTTTACTGTTTGAATGCACGACTACCAGAAGGCTTGTGCTCTGGAAAGCAGATATTACAGCCTTTGGACTGCAGCCTTTTCCAGGTTTTTGAGGAATGTCTGTTTTGGCAGTAGAGAAGACCACTGTTTTTCTGCACCTTTGTACAGTACTACTTTTCCTTCACAACAAAATCTGAAATATGATCCTAGCAGGTTTCATTTCGGAATCTTGCTTCATGTGCCTTGCTGGGAAGCTTGTGCTGGTTATTCTTCCACCTGTGAAGCTCTGCAGGGACAAAACCTTGAGTAGGAACTGATAGATCTGATCTGTGACATAGACCTCTAGCCCAGCCGTGATTCTCCTCTTGTAGAGTCTTGCAGGTACAGAAGGATTGAGCAGGAAAGACCTGTTGTATCACACCAGCTTGCCCAACAGTTGGTGATTAGGATATCTGTGTTTCTGTGAGGTTCTTTTTTCGCCTGAGGGCTGCTATGAAGAACCATGTCCCTTTACCTGTCCAAGTCAAGCTCCTCAAGGAATTTTCCTGATTCCTTTCCTGCTTGTTTTTTAGAAATCTAATTTCTTGCCCCTTTAAGATTTGAAATGTATTCTCTGTCTAAGAGATGATACAGAACTCTAGAAGCTTGAACTTTGGCTTTAATACTTGTCTCAGCAGCTGTGAGGGGGGGTTCATTGAGGCACTACCTGCTATTTCTGAATTTTCTGAAGCTGAGTACACCTCCTGTTGCCTGACCTTGGTCACCTTCCCTGAACTTCCAGTCAGCAACTGGCTGTCATTATCTCTGGAAAATGGAATATCTTTCCTGGTATAACCTCATATGTGTAGGCATGCAGGAACAGGGAGCATGAGAGAGCTCCTGCAATAGCTCTGCCCTGCTGCCATACCTTCCAGAATGGTGCCTCTACTGTAATTAAAAAAATGTAATTCCTCATTTGAATATAGATGGCTGCAATTTGCTTTGTCTGTGCTTTGGAGTGCGACAGGTTTTTCTGGGCAGCATCACGTGCATTGCTGTGGATTGTTTGCCATAGTGAGTGTGCTTCTAGCTTGAAAAGCCTAGGGATGTTTCAGTACCTTTCTTTGCTTACAAGAACCCTTAAAAATGGAGTAAAATCACTGCTGGCTGTTTGAGCAGTAGAGGTGGTGCACTGCCAGTGGCACGAAGCCTTGTGCTGGGATTCCCAGAGGGAAACGAGAATGACTATTTTTAAACATTTGACATACTGAATGAACATATGACAATTAAATGTACAGTAAATGTTTAGCGTGTACAGTAATTTCTAGCAAGTGGTGCTACATTTAAATCCAAATGGCCATTGTGTTCTTTAGGATGTGTGTGTGTGTGTGTGTGTGTGTGTGTGTGTGTGTGTGTGTGTGGTTATTTTGGGTACAGTGGTTGTCTGGAGTTTACTGTAGACAATTGATGTTGTCTATAAAGTCATCTTTGTAAATTCTCTTCTGGCTTAATGCCTCTGTCTGCAGCAGGAGAGCAGAAATGCTGGGGTATCCTTAGCTTAATGATTAACAGCACAAGGTTGCTCAAGATACACAGTCCTAAAAAGCTTATGTTCCATTTTTATCTGCCAGTAAATTAATCTGTTGGGTGGGTTTTTTTTGTTGTTTGTTTTTAAACCATGGAAGGGCTATTAGGAGCATCATCCTGTCTGATGTATGACAAAATTTCATTTTCATTCCAACAGATTCCAGTTCATGCTGAGTCAGCACTTTGCATCAATTTAAGTCATTAGGTGGAAATTTTCTAAGGTTTGTGTATCAGTGACCCTGCAGGCAAGAGTTCCTTTATGTCCAAGGGCGCGTATGTGCTAGTCTGTGCTGTGGAAAGCCACCAGCAGTGTCACAGTGGGGGAGCAGCTGCAGTTCAGTGCTACAAGGACCCTTTTGGTCACCCCAGGAGCAGATGTCCTCAGCTCAGCCTGAGCTTATACAAGAACATTTTAAGACTCAGGATCTCTGTGTTTTCTCAGAAGCTCTGGCTTAAGGATCTTTGCAGAAACTGGGGTCCCCAGGAGCAATGAGTGGATGTGAAGCAGCAATGTGTCCTCACACAGGGAAGGCTGACAGCATGCTAGGCTGCATCAGCTGGAGTACAGCTGTCCAGCTGAGGGGGTTGGCTCTTTCCATCTGTTGATTTCTCGTGAGTGCCTGAAGCTCTGCTTTCCTGTCCTGGGCTCCCTGAGGTGTGGAGGCTGTGTGTGTCAGGACTGTGAGCCCACTGGGGAGCAGTGGAAATGGGCGGGAAGCCTGGAGCACATGGTGTTGGAGGAGAAACTGAGAACCACACTTGTTCAGACTGGGACTTGTGGGGACTGGAGACCTTAATGCTCTTTCACCACCTAAATGGGAGATTGCAGAGGTGACAGAGACAGATTATCACCAAGGCCCTGTGATGGTTGGTGGATAACCAATGAACACAAGTTGCAGCACAAGAAGTTGCAATTAGTTAGGATGAACAAAATTTTCACCCACCGTGAATGTGCCAGCTGTTAGAGCAGGGGCCCAGAGAGGTTGTGAAATTTACTTTCTTGGAGGTATTGACTACTTGATTGGACAAACCCTAGCAAGCTGATCTGAGTTGGTCCTCCTAGGGTGTTGGGAAAAAAGCTTCAGTCTCCTTCCAGCCTAAGTCATGCTATGATGCTGTATTTTAGAATCAAGAGCTGCTTCCAGTGTAGGCAGGTTCTCTTTCACGGCAGTTAACAGTTGCACTATTCCATCTTGCAGGTTTTTTATTGTGGCAGACAAGGTGGAACCAGATCAATCTGCTTGTTTCTGGAAGCTCTTTGTATGTAGGAGTAATGTTGGTTTGAGCAGTCAGACAGAATCCAGCAGCAAGACTGTTTGCAGAGAATTTATAGCCTAACAGTGGCTGTGTCTCGCCCATAATAGAGTTTTGTCTCGACTCACAATTGCTTTCCTCAGTCATTTGAAAGAATCCTCTTTCAAATGCCTGGTGTTCACCAAATATCACACAAAGTCAAGTCAATCTTCAGAGCACTGTGCCTTGGAGAAGGAAAGCCAAAGCCCCAGGAATGAGGTTGCCCTCGACCTTGCATGCCATGTTCCTTGATGCTGGGTAGGTAAAGTTCCATGCTGTGTGCACGTCTAGTGCTTTGCAAGGCTCGTTCATGGGCCAATTGCTCCTGTGCTGGAGCAGTGAAACACGACGAGTAGTGTCTGTGGAGTACGAGCTTGTGAGAACATGCCTTCTGGTCACAGTACTTTCTCTGCTTGTCTGACTGGAGATGAATCCACACTGGCTGATCCACAGATCAGACAGTTCTTTCCTCTCAGAGTCCTATACAAAAAGGAGCTTTCCAAAGAGAAAGAGCAGAATAGCAAAGCAATGAACCTCTGTGACATGAACATCAGTGGTTTGGCATCCTGACTGTCCTGGCATCAGTGTGTAGCTTTGCTGACTGAAAGGTGAAGGTGAAGGTGTTTATCCTAGGTCAGGGCAAGAAAGCAAAATGGAAGTAAACCCCTGGATGGAGTTAGGAACTTTTCCTGGTGCTGAGGTTTGGGCTACCTGGTCTGCATTTGGCACTGTGGAGTTTAGAATGGAGAACATAGCCTCCCTGTGCTTCCAGGCATCATGTTTTTTTCCTGAAATTGGTTGTGAAGTGGCCAGTTCATTCTTCATCCTTTGACTAACCCTGCTTTTCTGTAGTTGCATGCAGTAGGTATGTGTTACTAACACCTTCCCTGCCTTTCCAGGGTCACAGTGCACCGGGCTGTTTAGCACCACTGTGCTGGGAGGCTCCTCCAGTGCCCCCAACCTCCAGGACTACGCACGCAGCCATGGCAAAAAGTTTGCCAGCAGCCTGACATACAAAGACGGTATGTGTGTTCCCTGGCAGCAGGGTGGTACTTTGTGGACACTGGTGTCTCGAGATATGCCTGCGGCACAGACCTGGACTGCTGAAAACAGTGACAATTGAATGTGTGTTTTCACCACATCTGCAATGATAAATTCTACCATATCCCAAGAAATCACGATCCTTGCTAGGACAGAAGGGAGCTGACATTGTGAGAGGAGTTTTAGGTTGATGTGTGGTATCTGATTTTGGTCTGTTTTGTTAGTACTTGCTGTTGTGAAGGGGAATGTATTGGTCCAGATATTAAATTGGTTTGTCATGGTAGGGAAATCCAGCAGATCACATCATCTTGCTTACCTTGATCATTTTGCTGATGCTAAAATGAAGCTCCTTTTGGGGCAGTAATTCTTGCCCCGTGGAAGGTGCAGTCATCCCAAAGACAGAATGATATGCTTGGGCATGGATAAGACGGGCACTAGAGCAAGGCTGAGCATGTGGCAGAGTCTGAGGTAGCTCTCGGGAGGCAAGGGCAATATGCCTGAAAGGCTTGAGGTAAGTGAGTTGCTTGAATGAAGTACTGCGAAAGGACTGAAAGGTCTGGTTTCTGTACAGCTGTGCAAAAACTGCCAGGAAGGTCAGCAAGACAATCTGATGAAGGCATTGTGGCCAAGTCTACAAACGCTCTATGCCCATGGCTGCAACTGCCCCCTGACCTGCCAGCAACACTTGGTGCAGTATTCAGGGAGCAGCAGAGGGTTGTTTTATGCAAGGAAGTTGGGGCACAGGGACAGACTGAGCTGTCCTGGAACAGCTGGAGGGTGTAATGCACAAGTGCAAGTGTCCGCTGTAGTCCTGATAAGAAAGACATTCATGCAAACTCTTCAGTACTGATTCACATACCATTTGTTGAAGCACTGATTTGAGGAGCTCCATGGGCAGGGTCTGCACAGCATACTCTGACAAGGTTGGAAATCCACCTAAGGTTTCCCAGCATTTGAATGGATGGATGTAAGGTTGTTTGTCTTGGATGTCTTATCTTTTTGGTATTTTAATCAATAGAGAATCTGAGTTCATTTCTTATTGGGATTGTGAGGAACATTAACATTGCTGGATTTCAAGGTGGGAAGAGGATTAAGGGAGTAGTTTGGGAAAGACAGGAGGTTGGTTCATGTGGATTTTTGTCCAGTTTTGAGGCAAGGAAAATGGCCTAGCAAATCAGGATGAAAAGATGTCCAGTTCTCAGCCCCGTTGGAACTCTGTAGGTGCTATTATGTACACTAGCTGCCTTTGCTGCTTTTCTTGTGTAAGAGAGAGCCGAGCTGGTTCTCACCTCCTCTGGGCACTCCCAGCCACACGGTGGGCTGTGAATGATGGTGGCAGGGAGAGTGAGATGGGAGTGTTCTCAGCTCCGGTATACCAGTCAGCTGCCCCAGGCGGCAAGTACTGGCTGCTCACAGGTTGCAGAATAAGCTGATGGTGTTTGGTACAAGACCAGGGTGTGAGTCACAGTGGAACCTCTGAAAAGGCCAGCAAAGGCCCTGGCGGCTGTTCTTTCCTGACTCTGCAAGGAGTGGGAGCCCAAGGCAGCACTGATTCTCAGGGAAAAACATCGAGCTCTGTGCACAGCTAGACATGGAACAGACCTGCTGGAACTATTTAGTCCTGGTGCTGGGCTGCCTTCCTCTGTAGGCTGTGTAGCAGAATATGCCTGCAGCAGGCTACAGGCATTTGAGGCCATGGACTCCTGCTAAGCCTAAATTCAGTGACAAGGTCTCTGTGTGCTGAGATGCAGTTGTACCCTCAAATACCTAAAATGCAGACTTAGTTGACTAGCATGTGTCTAACATAGCTCAGAATTATAAATCTTGATGTCATACTTCTGTTTTCATGTTCCTTGGCATGCCCTGAGACGCTGTGTTGTCAGTGCCTTGCTGCAATAAGGGCATTTAGAGGGACAGTGTTAGGGGCTTGGGAAAACAAGGAGGAAGCAGGACATTTACCGTCTGGGGAAAGTAGTTTAGAATGTGAAATGAGCCCTTGATTGTCATGTTTCTGCTTAAATGAGCACTGCTGCAATGCTGAACAATGGAATTTAATCTAAAGATCACTACACGTGGTTGCAATCAGTGGCACTGCAGCTATAGCAGACTCTTGGAGAACATTTGTTTTAAGATCTGTTCCACACTCTTTAGACTAATGACATTGAAAAGCAGCACATTTTTGCATGAACTCTTTGGTAGTTTTTCACGGCTGTGATACTTCATGGTGCAGTGTGTGGCATATAGCACTTCACCAATGTTAACCTGCCTTGTTCCACGGAAGTTTCAAGGGCCCTTATTTCTGAAGTCTTTTTTTGCTTGGAGCTGGAGGAGGGCTAAAGAACACTTCAGCAGAAAGTTTTCTGAATGTCAAGCTGAGGGAAGGTCCATGGATGGTTGCGATTTCAAGTTGGCTTGCCTGAAGCCAGGGATCCAGTAAATTGTGTCAGTGCCATTTCAGCTGATGTGCCCTCAGGGCAAGGGGACGTGTGGGTTGGCTGGAGATGGTCACCAGCTGGCTGCAGCTGGAGGGCTTAGACACTTCCAAGGGATTGCATGTGTAGGGAAGATTGTCATGCTGTTTGTTTAGTTTAAAGAAAGAAAAACCAATTTTTAGGGCTGTTACACTAGAGGAGGAAGTTCCAGTGAGAGTTGGTTTAGATATATTATTTGGCCAAGCCACTCCATGTAGCTGTAGGAGCACATTGGTAGTATGGAGCATGCACTGGTTCATCCATCGGGGGATAGGCATACACACCCTGTGGGCTAGGGAGAATGGATGCATGAAACAGGAAAGAGAAATAAAAGGGTTTTCTATTATTTTTGAAAGATCCCAAATAGCAGCAAAAGGTATGATTGGCTGGGGTCTCATATCTAATCCTACATATAGATGATCTGATCCAGGCCATTCTTTTTCATGATAGCTGAGGAATTTCCAGTGTGGGGAAAAAAGCAAAGTTTCCAGCCTTTTTTCTTTTTTTTTTTTTTTTTTTTTTTTTTTTTTGTGTGTGTGTGTGTGTGTGTGCATGTGGAGCCTAATCCATGTCCTTTAAAGCCTATCTGTTTGCACTTCATTAGATGCACAGTATCTGTCCTTGCGTGGCCTTTCTGATACGTGATTTGTATGGGCCTGGCCTGGGGCATGGCCAGGAGAAGCCCAAGGACCACTCTGATAGGTGTATTCCAAATCTTCCCCTGTATTGAAATGTATTGAGCAGAGAACTGTAGAGGCTTGTCTTCATGGGTCTTTTCCTTCTTCCTTACTCAGGTGATTTACCTTTAAATTCATAAATAGCTCTGTATAGTTTGCATTAAGAGGTTGTTTTAACCTGTAACTTTGCTGGAACTCGTTAGCCCCTCTGCAGAACAGTGTTTGTTTTCCTTGGGCAGAAGTGAATCCTGAGAACAGTCCTCCTGTGGTGCTGCTACTTGCTGGGACATGTGCTCTGGTGGCTGTGAGCATGGCCTGGCTGCATTCTGCATTCTGCCATTCTGGACTGAGCCTGGTGTGGTGGGAAGGTGTGAGTTGCTGACTGACAGTGATTGAGGGTGTGGCTGAGTGTGCAGTGCTGGGGAGACCCTGGCAGGGTGCTGCAAGGGCTGGGGAGATGTAGAATGGTTCAGTCAGACCCACAGGCAGAGAGTGTCAGGTGCCACAGCAGTGCCAGAGGAGCAGCTGTTGTGGGGGTCAGAAAGGTGAACCTGAAGGTGTAATCAAGTGTATGAAGGTCAGGGAATCCTTTGAAGCAGGCTGTTAACTGAGATGATCTGTTTTTATTTCCTCAGAGCTCTTGTCTATGCCAGCCGTAAAACGATTTTCTGTGTCGTTTGCAAAGCATCCGACTAATGGTATGTTTGCTTTCTGGATTTGATGTTCCCTCACACTTCTAACCCCATGCTCACATTCAGTTTTCTCTGCACATGTTCTCCTCTCAGTCTTCTTGTGGTTTTTTTTTTTTGTGTTTGTGTATCTGGTGTCCAAACATGCTTCACCTTCCTCCATTGTCTCCTTGTGACTAATGTGCTCAGTCATACCCTGTTACTGCTCAGTGCTGCCTCTGCTCTGCCCTGAGGTGTTTTTGTCCCAGGTGAAGAGGCAGAAGCCGTGGCTCTGTGAGTGTGCTGCTAAAGCAGCCTTTTACTCTGCAGTGACATTAAGGCCTTTTGTCATGCTCCTTGTCGGGAGGACGGGGATCAGGGGGAGAATACCACTGGACTGGGGGCTGATGCCCATTCCATATCATGAAGCAGCTTAGGTCCTCAGTTTCTACACTGCAGATTTGCAGAAAGAAAACAAGAATAATACTAGGACAGCCGTGTGTCACCTGAAGCGCCTAGTATATGGTGAGAAAGAAGGAAGTGAACCTGGTGTATCATGTCAGGAGTACTGGTAGCTTTATGGCCTCCTGTTGTGAAACCTCTCTGTTAGGCTGGTCCTGTGGTTCCTCCAAGCATGGTGATGTTGGCACAGGTAGGCTCACCTTTTCTGCAGACATTACCCTGTGAATTGTGTCTCTCCAGAGCTCTTACTTGTCTGCTGTTGATGGATGGTGCTGGCTTGGAGGGAAGTGATGGGCATCGTGCTACCTGGGGTAGCATCATCGGCTTCATCCCATCCTGCCTGTATCTCTGGAAGGGTTTGGTGACAGATGTCTCACAGAGCTCCTGCTAATTCACTGTCTCTGCTCCAGGTTGCTACTTGCCTGAAAACCAAAGTGTGAGTCTGTGAGGTTATAGGCCACCTGCTCTGTTGTAGCAGGTGCCTTGAATCAGTGTTTACTCTCCAGCTCTTGCACGGATATTTTTAAAAAGGTTTCACAGCACCCCTCCTCTTGCATGGCTCCTGCTGCTGAGACAAGTTGGAACCAAAGGAGATCACTGAACACTACCGAATATATCTGCCTGATGTGATCAAGGCAGCTTGCGAATATGAAGACATCCTGCTTGGTGTAATCCGGAAGATGAATGAAATTCAGAAGACCGTTCCGAAAATGAAAGTTTCGGGAAGGATGAAATGGGAAAGGACAGGTCACTACTGTTTCAAATAACTCGAGGCAGCCTATTCTCTCTGTTTGCTTGGTTTTGGTTTTCCCAGAGTTGCCAACTGCTTGGTTTGTCTGTGTGTCTGGACAGCATTGGAGCTCACGTGGTGTATGTCAGCAGGGTGTATTGTTCTCTCTTTCCCACAGAGGTTATACCAAGTTCCAGCTTTGTAAGACTTGCTACAAAGCAGTTGCCCCTGCTCCAAATACGATAGGGTGAAACCGGGCATCATGTTTCTCCCAAAACCCCAGTTAGAATTTCTGATGGCAAAGCGCTTAATTAAGAAAACAAAAACAGGGGTCCAGCAGGTGAGAGCTCAAAGTCAGGGATATTTGGTCTAGGATTGGCACTGCTTTGAGCAGGAGGGATGCTTACCCCATGAACCACTTAAAAAACTGAATGCTAAAAGTGTTCCCAGCTCTGAGTCTGGATTTTGTTTCTGGAGAGCTGCCTCTGTGTGGTGAAATGGAATGGGTGAACCAGGGTAGTGGTCAAGCACAGTATCAGGCCACATGGTTTATGCCCTGGTCACACAAGTCTTGGGTGTGTGACGTGAGTCCTGAGGCTGTGTATAGTGAGAAGACATGCCTGCATGCTGGTATCTTGTCTGCCATGCAAGGATATCACAGAAGATTGCATAGGGCTTGGAAAGTCAGTGCTTCTGGGCTCTCTCTGTTCTTCCGCACTCTCAGCACTTGGCTCTCAGTCAGACCCTGCTGTCCCCAAAGTCCCTTGCACAGCCTCTGCTCATTTGATGCTGAGACATTTGCTCTTTTCCTATGCTGATGTGCCTGGCTGCGCTTGGATGCAGAACTCAAACACTGCTGGCAGTCTTGGCGCTGTTGGATTTCTCATCTGAGCTGCAGGAGGGCGAGTCTGGCCCTGAGCCTGATCTTTTTATCTAGCCAAATTTGAACTGCATTGGACTTGGACTGTGTCCTGAAAATTATTCACTTGTCAGACTTTTCCTTACAAAGATCAGCCCTTGCTGCTCAGGAAGTGCCCTGTGCTGCAGCTGGGTGATGCCTGGGCTGGGTGGGGAGTCTGGTCTGCCCTGATGTCACTGGGGGGACATAACTCTTAAGGGCTTTCCTGACCTGCTCACTGTGGGAGGGATTTGGCTTAATGTGTGGTGTGGGTCCTTCTCACCCAGCGGCCCTGGTGCTGGCAGCTCCATTGCCACATCTCTGCAGTTTCTCTGTCCCCAGCTGTACCTGCCCCTCTCCTCTCACTCTCTGTGGCCCCTTTCCTCCAGATGTGTTGGAGCACCAGCACGTTGCCCAGTTGCTACGCCGTTTTTCCTCTGACTGTGCCACGAGCCGGACCATCTCCTTGGATGCCACCCTAGCCCATCACCTGCAGCAGTGCTCCTACCACCTGCGCCTCTTCAGGAGCTGGCTGATCTCAGGGCAGGATGACTTGGAGTGTCTTTACGGTACTGCACGCTGCAGCTGCCTCTGTCCCATGCTCTTGTAGCTGAGCAGGGACTACTGTCTGCTTGAGAGTGCAAAGTATGCTTTGCTTCTGAAAAAGGAAAGTGTTCCCCTCACCAAATCTCGAAGGTCTCTGGGCTGCTTCAGCAGCAAACTGTGTGGGCTGTTGTAGCAGCAGTTTTGGAGCCTTAGGCAGGAGTCTTTCCACACGGAGCCTCTGCTCCCCAACTGGCTGTAACTGCTCTTTCCATCTTTGGCAATTGTTTGTTGCTTCCTTCCTTTAGCCAGGGTAAACCCTTAAGCTCCCTTCAGGATAGGTGCTGAGCTGCTATCAATGGTATGCCCTGCTGGCAGGATGCTCTGTGCAGGTCTTGGTGAGCTGCCAGAGTGTCCCCTTAGTAATGGAGGAACCAAAGTCAGTATTGAGAGTATAGGAAAAGATTAAGGAGGTGCTGCAGCTGGTCACAAGCTGAGTGAACTTGCTGTGGAAATTTTGGGGAAGTGAGTGCTTGTGGGTGTGTTGTATCTAGAGAAGACTGAGTTAAGACAGAGTAGAGCTGAGCTTCTGTGTGGCTGCACTGCATGGCATCTTTCCTGCCTGATAGGGCCTCTCATTGTGTCCTGTCTCTGGTGGGAAGAGGTAGGCAACTTCAGCATTGAATCCAGATGTTACAAATCAAAGCTTGCTGCTGTTTCTCTGGTGTTTCTCAGCCTCTGTCACAGACAGGAGGTCTGATGCATGGAGGCCTTGGTGCTTCTCACACAGGCAGAAAGATTGCTGCTCCCTGAACGAGGCAGCGAGCTGGGGCTGGCTGCTGAGGTTTACCTGCATCATAGGAGCTGCTCGGAGCATGTGACTTGCTGAGCTGTGTGGTGTGATGCATGGATCCCCTTTTCTATTCAGACCCACAGGTGGAAGGGGCACAGACAATGCAGCCTTCCATGTAGTGAAGCAGCAGGACCGAGCATTTTCAGAGCCTGGAAGATGAGAATTTTCCTTATACATCTGTTTTTCCTTGATATGGCCCTTTCTGTCAAGCAGACAATTTGGAGACAGTTGCTTTTCACATGTAATTAGGACAATTCCTTGATCTCCTGGCAGCAAATGCTAAAGAGGAGCAGAATTGCTTCCAGGGAAGAGATGCTGGATCACAGCAGACTGCTCCAGAGCAAGTCTTGGCCATGTTTGTGAGCTTGGGTGGGGAGAGAAGAAAATGAGCTCAGTGCTTTGGACACAGTAGGCTGCTGGGAAGCGCATCCTGTCCCAACGCAGCCAGGCACAGGCATTAGGTACTCCTCACCTGACTGCCTACCAGTGCAGCAGTCCTCCCAGCTGGAAATCAAATCTCCACCATCAAGCTCATGCTGCTTTCCCAACAGTCCAACAGCAAGCCCACAGTTCATTGATGTGTTTGGGATTCCTGATGAGGCTCTTCTCAGAACAGACATGGTTGGCAGCCCAGGTTTCTTCCTTGTGAAAACTGCATTCTTCTTCCCTCTCTTGGCTTTCCACTGTACTTCTATCCACACAAAGGAAACATGAATTAGAGGATAGAATCAGTGAGTCAGAAGTATGCAGTTGGCATCCATAGTTGGAAGATCAACAGTGGAGCCCTGAAGGAATGTTTAGGAACCTGTGTGGTCATAGCTGGGAAAAAGAAATGTGTGAAGTAAGTTCTTATTGGTAATGAGTCACACTGTACTGAGGCCAAAGGTCAGCTGTGGACACAGAGCAGCCCTGTGGTGATGAGCAGGAAAGTAGTGGTGATGTCCAGTGTAAATGAATTTAAATTACAAAATGAAACAGCCTCAAACTCTTATATATAAAAGGGCTCTGATCTCACCATCATCACTTGAGACAATGTGGAAAAGGTAGAAATTTGCTAAATTAGAAATCTGGGAAGGATGTTTGTAATAGTGGTCTGAGTGGCCTGAGGGAAGGGGTGGGGATCCACAGTTTTGTGTAGATCCAGGAGCAAGAAGATTTCTAATGGAGTGAGCTGAGATACTTTGAACAGAAGTGGTTTTTTTCCAAGCTCTGTACTACGGTACCTGAGGATGTTGGGAGCTTAACTGAGTTCAAGGGGAGACGAGAATATGGAAGAGACAGACGATGTCCGTAGCAATTCTGTGGGTCACTGATGTTTGGGGCATATGACTAGACAGTCACACGTTCTGTCTAGACTTGTAACCCTTCATATACAATATACATGTGGCATGTTGGAATTTGTCCAGGAAGATAGGAGTGGATTGATGATGCATGTCAGAGAGGAGCCTGGTGAGTGCTTTTGTTTGTGCTGAGACTGGACAAGAGCTTCTTCACTCCAGAAGAGCTGGCATGCAGAACACTGGCACACAGAACTTCCTCTGTGGGCTGCTGTTGGATGTTGGTACAAAATGGATGTAATTCTGTCCAGTTTCCTGTGCCATTGCCTGCATCACAGATTCCTGCCCTTCAGGCCCCAGGAAAGAGTTTAGGGGAGCATCACCAGTAGCTGCACAGTCAGCACAGGGTAACTGTCAGTCAAGGATGGTTCCTGTGGCTTGCTGTCACTTTTTATTTTTCTTGCCCCTTCCCAAAGGTTCTTTGCTAGCTGTGTGTGGTGCAGCAGTGGTTGGAGCCTTCACTGGAGACATGTGGGGATTGTGATCCATAGTGGCGGCTGCTGCCTTAGCTGTGCTGTGGTGGCATCAGCCACTGCTGGCCTCTTCCCCAGCAGCGCAGCAGGTCTAGGGAGGAGTGCAGGGAAATGGGGTCCTGTAAACAAATTAGAAGGATTCCTTGAACACAATACTCCTCCACCTTGAAAGAGGAAACTTTGGCCATTTTATTCTGCTTGCTCAAGAGTGGTGCAGTGCCACAACGCTGTGCAGAGTTGCATGAGCAGGGACCTGGCACTTTGGGGATACATATACCCATGTGAAATCATGGGTATATGATTTCACACCAGCTGTGTGTCAGTGTCTAATGTTTCTTTTAATGCTGGACCTTTGATTTCCTCATCTTACTAGAGGGGAACCCAAGCACTCAGATCCCCATTGGTGCCCTCAGTGTATCTTGTAACATTGCTTTGCCCTATCTTATATTTAAACTTCCTTTTTTCTTTAAAGAGCCCGATATCTGAGCCAACTTTGGCCCCCCTCAAACCAGAATCTGTCGTGAAATGACATTAGCCTCAAACTGGGCTGCTCCATAACTACCTGCCGTGACCATTTTAAATTTTGCCCTCACCTTTTTTGTTTAGCTGTGTCTCCCAGGAGGCCTCTGAGAAAATAAAGAAGGTACATTCTTCCTTGCTCAACATGTCCACTTTCAGGACTTCTCAGCAACAGACACAAGAATGTGGTCTTTTTCCTGTGTCTTATGTTGCTTCATCCTAGCTGAGGATTTGTTATCCTTTCTGTCTTGAATTATGTTTGTAGGCCCTTTGTGGCACAGGTAACCTCATCAACTGTCTGGAGGATTCTTTATCTCCACCAACTGTTAATTACTGCAGTGAACACCTTCATGCCTCATGCTCCTTGCCTCTTGCAGAGGGTTAAGTGAGGGTATTGGAGCAGAGCCTGTCCTGGAGGTAACTTGAACAACTGTCTGCAGTACACAAACAAGTACTCCAGGGCTTCTCCTGAGGTGCTGCCAAGCTGCAGAGGTCAGATTTATCCTGTTTGTGTACTGGCCAGACATCCTGCCACGGATTCCATCAAGAACTCTCTTACTTTTTGCATTTCAAAGTATTTTTCCTTCTCTGTAGAAACAAACAGTTTCTTTCCAGAGTCTTTTTGAAGTCATTGGAGGAGACTGGGGGGTTAGAGAATGGGAACCCTGAGGAGTTGAGAGGCCATTTAACTTGAGAGGTGCAGAGCCGGGGGCAGCCTCATTCCATATACCCAGGGACTCATCTGTTTCTTCCTTGCTCCTCTGGCAGTTCAGGTTGGCTTGGTTCCACAAGGCATTTACAGGAAGCTGGGATGAAGAGGAAGATGCTTTGCTATGATACTTCACTTGTTTGGGCAGCAGAGGATTTATTCTGGATGGTTGTGATGCAAGTTAGCTCTGAGAAAGTGTCTGAGATGCCTATTTGTGCTCATTCTGGGTTTGCTGGCAGTGAAGTCTAGTTAAGGGGACAAATAATTCAAGTCATTACCAAGCCCCTCCTTTGGACACAGTGTGTCAGGGGTGCACGGGGGTGGGGGTGCTTTTGTGACAGGGAGGTTCTGTGGCTCCTTGTGGCTGCTGCAGTGTGCTCCTTGTTTTTAGGAGAGGGAGCTGTGCCAGGCAGGGGGTCACCAGCAGTGGGACCTCTTTAATGGAAATTCTGTTGGCACCACTTTGATTCTGTTTGGCTTCTGTAAGGGGGGGCACTGTGCCAAGCTCTGTGCCAAGTTCTCCGTCATGGCTGTATATTTTAAGTGTCCCAGGCTCAGCAGCAAAAATGGCAGCTGCCAGATACTTTTCCTCCTCTCCCCTCCATGTGTACTCAGGTGCTTGCTTTCGGATCTGTTACTGCATGGGATTGCTTCGTGGTGATTTTCTTGGGCTAGAAGAGATGACCTGAGGCCTGAGTGTGCCTGTTGTTTGATTCCCAGAGTGCCCAGTTCCTTCAGCCATGAGTGCTCCTGCATGGATTTTCCCTGCTGTTTTCTCTATTCATTTTCTGCTTGGGTCTCTTTCCAGGTTTTGAAGGCTGTTCCATGGTTCCCACCATCTATCCCCTGGAGACCCTCCACAACTCCCTCTCTTTGCGGCAGGTCAACGAGTTCCTGACAGCTGTGTGCAGGAGCTGCAGTGAATCCCATGTCCAGTCCACGGCAGGTACTGGTCAGGTGGGCTTGTCTCTGGCAAGGCAAGAAGCACTCCTGCTCTTTTACATTCTTGGGACAGGACTGGAGATAAGTGCAGTCCCTAGAGCCTGTCCCAGTGTGTTCTAGCTCAGGAATAAGCCGTGGACCCAGCTCAGAGCCATCCTAGGCCACTTACATGACAAATAATCAGTTAGGTCTGTCTGTAGCTGATGAGTACAGTGATGAGGATTGATGCTCCTACCCCTCTCAGCCCCTAAATTATTAGGCTAACCCAGAGATACAAGGCCTTGAGGGGAGGAACATCAGGAGATGGGCAAAGATTCAAAAGAGGCTCTCACCCCGATGTGGTTGTCCAGCTTCTTTATTCCATGAGGTGAGGGGGGAAAAGAGAGTGAAACGAAAGGGTCATGGGCTTATTTAGGCTCTGGACAGGGAGGGCTTCTCTGGCTCTCCACCAACCCTGTCAGGGCAGGAAGGAGGGGACCAGGCTTATCTGAGTCACAGGGGTCCCTGGAAATGGGGGAAAAGAATAGCCCGAGCGCACTGTAACAGAGGATACCGACTCCAGCTTTGGAAATCTTAGCCTTGGATTCCCAGGAGCTGATGGACAGGCATGGCTCTGAATTGGCACTGGTCTTTAGCTCTTCCCAGAGCACCTGCTCGTGACTGCTGGGCTACGAGCCATTCCTTTATGTCTGTCGGAATATTACTGATCTGTGAATTTTTTTTCTTGAAGCTTTGTTTGATTCAATGATTGGGAGCCAGATACCAGGAGACCCCTTTATGTCCCAGCGAATCCTGTCGTCATCGTCCTTGCCGCTGCGCCCGCGTTCGGATAAGCCCCCTTGGTGTGAGTGTGCTCTGCTCTCGGTCGGGGCAAATGTAATGGGGAGGGAGGGAAGTCTATGAAGTCAGCAAGGTCAGGAAACCAGTCTGGCTGACAATAGTTGTTTAATTCTTCTCCTTTAATGGATTAGGCACAATCTAGGTATTTCTTTAATTTTGCTTATTCTGCAATATAAGGCAAGAATAAGCATTAGTAGAGAATCAGTATTTCTTTCTCTAGTGTTGACTCCCAACACTTAGGGACTGTGTGTCAGGAACCACGAGGAGCAAACTGAAGCTGGGATTGTTTCATAATAGTAAGGGAATGAAATAAATTTGTTTTCATTTTGAAGCGAAACATCACATTTTGTGCTGTGACAACAGAATCCACTCTTTGCTGTATGCCAGCATAGCACTGGATTACAAGGTAGAATTGTACTCTGTGTGCTTGGGTTTTCATCAGCTGAACCGTTGGAAATGCCCAAGACCAGCTGCAAGCCCCTTACAGGTCACACAGCATATAGACCTGTAGCATGTAGCATATAGAGCCATCACCTCTTTGTTGTAGAACTGTGGGACTGTGCCAGTTTGGGTAGGAAAATTCCAGCTACTTGTTTTAAGATTTTTCTTCCTCTTTGCAGACAGCAGTGGCCCCTCCAGTACCGTCTCCAGTGCAGGCCCGTCCTCCCCAACTTCTGTGGATAACTGTGCTCGTTTCAGCTTCACTGAGAAACTTTCCATCAGCCCCCCCAAAAGCGAGGAGCAGCTGACTAGCCAGTCCCCTGAGCAGGAAGAGAGTCAAGCTCCAGGCAGAGGGTTTGACGTGCAGGGCGGCGTGTCTGGTTGCAGAGTTGCAGAGCCAAGTGCCCCAGAGACCCTGATCTGGAATAAAGGCCCAGAGCCAGGCAGGATTCTGGAGCTGTGCAAGAGGGAGCTGGCGGGGGAGGACGCTAACCCAGAAGAGAAGAGCATGGGGGAGCGGGATGAAGAAAAATCATCTGAGGAAATGTTAGAGCCAAGTAACATAGGAAACTCAAAGTGTGGTGAGGGGTTTGACCTGAGGCTCGTTGGGGAGACAGTGAAGCCAGGTGAGGAGTCTGTCAGGGGAATGACTGGCCTGGATCAGTCTGGGCTGTCCAAGGAGATCCTGGTGCCCTGTGCAGAGGAGCTGCTGGGAGAGGTGTTGGACCCAGAGCATACAGGCAAGGAGCTGCTGGGGGACAGTGCTCTGTCAGACCAGCTTTTCTCTGATCACCTGTGCCAGGTGCAGCCACTGCCTCGTGAGAAGAATGTGGAGGAACTGCAACAGCTGTGTCAGAAGGATCAGCAAATTTAGTGGCTTACTGGACAGTACATTTGCAAGCAGTTCTAAGCCTGAAAGCAGCCCAGCTTCCTGCTTGGCACCTCACACAGCTGGCAGTCCATAGCAGAGAAGAAGCCATGTCCCAGAGCCACAGGATTCTGTGGTGTGGAGAGACTGCTTTGCTTCTCCACAAGCCAGCTCATTGCCATTCAGCAAGAATGTTTGCCTCGTCAAATGAACAACAATGCAGTCTTGGTACTGGCATGGCACCTCCATGGAGCAGGGACATGGTGCTGCACTGGTGTCCCAAGGGCTTTGTGCTCACTGGGACAGCAGCATTAGAGGACTGGTACAGCCAAGGCTTTTAGGGTGGTTAAGTCCAAAAGGGACAGATCCTTCCTCATGACCTTTTGGCCCACAGCCTTCAGAGAAAGGCATTCTGGACCCAAATTAATTGGATCCATCACAACCACCAACCTCTTCTCTTTTTCTTCCTTCTTCCTCTCTCAATTCCCCCTGCTGGCCACCAAAATCAGGTCCAGAGCGTCCATGGTAGGAAAACTAGCAGAAGCAGAAAGCATTCTGAATGTGGAAAAGAAGGGTAGTGGAAAAGAGGGCATCAGGTTTGACTGCCACTAGCAAGGAAACATCCCTTTGGCATGGCCTTGGCTGTTTCCCTGCAGGCAGGCAGGTGCCCTGGGATCCAGCCTGAGAGAGCTGTGCAGGGAAGACACACACAGTTTTTGTTTTTTTCTCATCCCCAAGGATCAGGCAGGGTAAAGCTCTGTGGTCTTGGTGAAAGGGATTAAAAGAAACTGCTATTTTGACAATTCAGGACTATTAGAAACCAATAAGGATAAATCTTTATTATATAAAATGAAAAGTATTTAATGGATATTTATGTAGATGCCTTGTGAGCACAAGCCTGAGGGCAAGATTGATACGGGTGTCCCTGCCGCATCCTGAGTGCCGGCCAGGGCTGTGCTTCCTACTCCTCCTGTATTTATGGACAAGTCTGCGTGTCTGTCTGTAGCTAGGATCTGTGTTTTTGTGAAGCTGTGCCCAAAGATCTCTATGCTGTGTTGTGACAATGTGTGTTCACAGTAAATCTATGCTGTGGGTCCACTGTCTCTGTGTCTCTGATGTTGACTTGGCAGCAGCGTCTTATGTGCTGAAGCTTGCAGGTGCTTGGAACAGTAAGCACTGCTTATGCTCTGTTGTCCTGGAAGAGCAGCTGTAGCTGGAGTCAGGCCTGCAGTAGGCTCCAGGCCAGGAAAAAAACCTCCTTTTTCCTACATGGGAGAAGTCGTCATTCTGGGGAAGAGCTCCTGGCTTCCCAGGTCTCAGGGGCGTTTGTGGTAGAATTAAGACACTGTAATGGTGTGTTCGTTCAGCTCTTTTCACTTGGTCCACACCTTCCCGTCACTTCAAGCACATCCTGGGTGTCATGTTCTTTTCTTCATGCCCAGGAATGCCACTTTGGGCATGTAAGAAAGGACATGTTTTCTTGCACTGAGAATGGAGCAGTCATGTAACTGCCCAGGGTGCAGCACTGTAAGGGGCACCCCAGCCCCTCTCCCAGCTTGCTGTGTCTGCCCTGCACTCTCTCTCCCTGCTTTATAGATCTGCACAAACAGAGACCTTGGCCATGGGGTTGCAGCCAACCTGCTGCAGTGGGGTCAGGCAGCATGGAATCCTGGCATGCCTGCGCCCAGATCCAAGGCAGCAGGTGTGCCACCTGCCACATGGCCAGAGACCTTCCTGCTCAGATTGCCAGCAGAGCTGGGCAGAGGTGCCATTCCCAAGAAGTGCAGGGACAGGCAGAGGGCTGCAATGGAATGCATGATTCTGGAACTGTGAGGAGTAATGGTGTTGCATGGCAGACAGGCCTCACTGGATTATCGGGAGCTGCTTCCCCCCCTACAGCCCTTAGCCAGCTGTCCCAGATGTTCCCAGGAGGGACCCACTAGTTACCCTGCTAAGGCCAGGGGTGGGGGGCTGTCCCAGGCAGGCTCTGTGGCCTTATGTGCATGTCCCTTTCTGAGTCACAGGAAAGTTTAGCAGCTGCTGGTGAAGGTGGGGTGTTGGTGGAAAAGCTGGGGTTCGCCTAAGCTGGGAGGCACAGCAGCCATGTCTGTGTGCTCCTGCCCAGAAGCGTGGGCTCACTGAAAGAACAGTTGGAAACCACTGGAGATGTTCTTGTTCGCAATTAATGTGGCTTTATTATTAATGTGTTGGGCTCCTCTCTTGACAGCAGTTAGTTACAGTGTTTCACATGGAAATGGGCAAAAGGACAGAACTCAAGGAACTAAATTCAAATAGAAATGTGATGCTGAAGAAAAAAATCAGGGCTCTCTTCTTAAAACATTTAGCATAGAAGAAGCTAGGAGCACAAGATTCCATTTCAATACAATTAAGACGTTCACTTTTTTAATTATAGGTTTAAAATAGTATTTTTTACCTATTACATACAGGAAGATTACGCATTGTTGCCCACATGCAGAAACAAGCAAAAGCAGAGTTTAACTGTTTCTCTCTATAGTGTTGTATTACCTCTGGCTCCAGGTGGGTCCTGCTGGCTCCTGTGGCCTGAGCAGGGCCATACTCCACGAATCAGCTTTTTCCTAAGTCTTTTTCCCCATTGTTTTTTTAAGATGGAAGGGGGTGGAGGAGAGAGAGGGAGATAGGGAGTGAGAGAAGCTCAAGGCAGAACAGACTGCGACAAAAACTGAAAAAAAAACCATGGAGCCTTGAGGACAGGGAAGCAAAGTGGTGTAGGATAAAGGTAGCCAAGCAGCAGAGCTGCAGAGGGCAAGAGCAGAGCATGGAGGGCAGTGTTCCTCCTGGAATCCACCAGTGGCCACACTCCTGCCTGGAGGATGCAGGTACCTCAAAAAGCCTCACTATTACTTCTGCTTAGTCAGAATTGCTTCAAGTTTAAAAGGAAAACATTCATATGTGGGTCTATCTAAAGTTAGTGCATTAGCTTTTACATCTAGCTACGCAGAGAGATTCCAGGAGCCAGTGAGGGCCATGCTTGTGCCTCTGGTGTCTGGCATCCTGCAGCTGCCACCACGGCGAGTGAGCCAGAGTCTCCCCAAAGCACAGTAGGCAAAGCCCCCCAGCATTCCAGGAAGGGGCAGGGGCAGGTGTTTTAGTGCCTGCAACTGCCAGAACCAACATTCATGAATGCTGACCCCATTGGGGTTCAGAGAATGACATTTATTATGCTGGCAGACACAGTGTGATTCCATGGCTAAAATGAACACAGCACAGGACAGGGATTTGCTAAAGCCCTGAGTAAGCTCCCATGCTCCTAACAAGGGCCATAGCCAAAGAGCTGGCTGTGCCTTGGGGAGGCTGCTGGCCTCAGGCCTCGTCCTACAGCTGCTGGGTTTTAGACACAACCTTGCAGAGATATTTTTGCTGCCCACAAGTTCTCTATGGTCTTTTCATTTTGTTTAAATTGCAGCATGTTAGTATTTGTACTGAGAAACCTCTGAACTGACACTTAAAGTACATGGTATCAGGTTGACATGTATAAATTAAAATATTAAATCAACACAAAATGCAGCTTAACGTTAAAAAAATAAATATATAAATTAAAACGCAAAATAGACCATTTCCCTAGAAACTCCATTTTAGTGCTAGGAGCAGGTTTCTAAGCAGCATTTTCTTCATGTCATCTGCCAGAAAACTAGCACTGAGACTGAAGTGTCCCAGGCAAGTGCAACACAGGGTCCGAGGATGCTCATGGAGTCAGCCCTCTGCTCAGGGCCAAGCACAGTGGGTGTCACAACCATTGCAACACAGCTTTCCATCTCATTCCTTCTTTCCCAGAGCACAGCCTGCTGCCACTCTCTTTGTCTTACAGAAATGCTGTCTTTGTGGTAAGATCCTCCGTCAGTTCTCTTGGACATGGCAAAGGCTCATGGATGCTGCAGGCTTAGTGCACCTGAACACCCCACTCCCTGCTGGGAGAACATGTCTCCCACACTGAACAGGTCTGTGTGCCACAGAGGTTCTGGGTGGCTAGTCAGTAGCCACAATGCACTCACTGCAAATATTCGTGTTTCTGCCAGGGCATCCAGAGAGCAAGGACAGGTGCCCACAGTGATGCTCAGGCCAGGGAACAAGCTGTGAGGTGGCACCACATGGACGAGCAGCACCTCACCTACACTGCCAGCACATCCCTGCCACAGTGTGGGGGGACTGAGAATGACTACATCTGCTAAACTACTTTTTCCCGACTATTTTGGGAAGGGCCTTCTCTTCCCTCACACTGCAAGTTGTATTTCCCACATCCTGGACAGCTGAGGGGACAACAAAAACCTTGAACACAACTATAAAGCTTGGAGCCTGGCACACAGGCAGCAAGGAGATGGCTGCTGTGTGCAAGCTAGCCCACCACACCAAGGCTAGCTGGGCACTAGCCTCCCCCAGCATGGCCTGCATGCTCCTCAGCTGCCTCACCACAGTCCTCCAGAGCCTTTGGTTTAGGGAGAGGGAGGTTTCTTGTACATTCCAGGCCAAGCGTGGCCAAGGTTTTTTCAGCCCTTCTGCTGTTGAGGGGGCTGTAGTTGTGCGTTTGGATGCTCTTTTTGTGTAACTGTTCAGGCCACAGCCTCTCTGTGCCTCCTCCTGCCACACAATTGGAATGCAGGAGTCAGTTGGCTGCTGTGTGTGTGAAGCTCAAGTTAGCAAGTTAGGAATGTGCTGAACCCTCCCCTCACACTGCCATGTCCTTCATCCCAGCTCCCAGAGCACAGCAAACAGGTGCTGCAGGATGCCACAGGAGAGTACTTGGGACAGAAATTTGCCAAGCTGGCATGTGGTGGTTGTGCCTAGTTGGAGCACAGGTCCCCTTGCTCAGAACACCTCCTGTATGCTTAGGAGGGAAGATGGAAGAATGACCTTCACTGTCACATTGAAGTTCAGAGGGTTTTCTTTTCCCTCATCTCCCTGGTGCAATTTCTTTGCAAGTTAGATTTCGCCTCTGCCCCCACCTCCCATGCACTCTGCATGCAGCAACAGTACTTCAGCCCTCACCAGAAAGGCAAGGTTCATAGTGCTTCAGGCTAAATGGCAAGGCAGCCAGGAAGAGAGTAGAACAAGCTCTCACAGCAGCAAGGCAGCCAAGATAGTCTACAGAAACTGTACAGGCAGCAGAATAAAGCAGGGAAGGTGAAAGTGCCCCTGGCCCGCAACTGCTCTTGTACAAACTCTTAGCTCAGTCCAGAAAACTACAGAGCCCTGCACTTCTTCCTCATGGCATCCAGTGCTGAGCAAGATGGATACCCGATTGCCTGACAAATGGGAACCATGTAGAGGACTAAACCAGAGAAGAACTGGACTGTGATTAGATGGTGTCTCTCATGTTGCATCGGTGACTGAAGAATCAATGGATGAACACAAAATGTGGGAGATCTAGAATTCAATCTTACAGGCTGGAAAAGATTCATCCTGCATCACAACAGTGCTGCTGCTTGCCAGTACCATGATGTTTAGCTCCTGCTGTTTCTCATGGGTCTGTTGATACCATTCTCGTGTTACCTCAGTATCGTGTGTTGGGATCAATGTCACCTGGGAAAAGAAAGCAGCAGGGATGATTGAGAACAACTGCAGTGACAAAGAATGCCCATAGGAGTTGAGGCTAAAATTTCTTTTTAATTTTGGAACACTGTACCCTTGGTACTGCTTGTTCTATTTAGTGTCTTTCAGATGTCGGGTTCTGAGGCAGAGCTTTATTGTATACAGTACCAGCACAATGGGACTCTGAGCTGGCTGCAAACTGGCAGCACTGACACCATAATTATGAGAATGGCTGCAGTGCAGGGGAGAGCATTGTGCTCTGGAGTGCTAGAAACAGCCTCAGAAAGATCCTTCAGTGTGAAAAGGAACAATACTGGCAGTGTCACTGTTAATGGACACTATGTGCCCATTGACCCAGTGTGCAACTCAGGGACCTTGAAATATGAGGCTGCTTCATCTGTAAGAACATTTATACCTTTCTGTACATGTCTTCAGGAGTGCCCACCAGGGGTGTCCTGCAAGCCTGCCTAAGCAAGAACTGTGTTACAGAACATTCTTGTTTAAATGCTCTATTAGTAAATTGATGTCAGAAAAATCTTCAGCAAGCCAGGCTAGCAACAGATGCTACTGGGTGTGGGACACTGATGAAAATTCAGTTTGTGTTGGTGTTTGATTTGGCTTGAGGATAGGCTCATCCTGCAGTAGGTAAGGATGAGTGTATGATCTCTCAATGCTTCCTCCCCTCAGGAGAATGTGGAAAAGAGGACATATCTGCTTCCATTCATACCATTTTGCAGGTATCCTCCTCCTCATAGGTACAAGCAATTACTCTGCTGAGACTGCACAACAGGGTATGCCCAGTCCCATTTGCTTCCTCTCAGTGTACTCCCTTGTGTATGTGATACCCATCTTCTGAGCACTTGTGACATCAAAAGCATGACACACCCCTTTGCAATTTCCATGACCTACCTGCAGGTTCTCTCCCCACTGAGACTTCCCTTCCAGAAGCGCATCCAACACTGCACGGCTTGGCTCTCCGTTGGCTGCATCGTTCCCACTCACAACATAATAAGATGCTCGAACTCGCTTGAAGAACTCTGGATCTGTGTTCTTCCCACTGCAGTGGTTGGGGATGTAGGCCAAATCCACGTAGACAGGTGGACCCATAGGCACTGACAAACTGCTCTTAGGACTATTGGAAGCTTTGGAAAACAGGAAACAAGGGGCTATCAAAACCCTTCTGCAAGGGTCAAACACTCAGATTAACACAGAAGGACTTGGATTCCAGAAAGACTTTTACATTACAGCAGTGAAGTTGAGACTTATTCACGCTCTGCTGCTCAGAGGTGACCTGGATGCATTTCTGGGCCAGTGCTGTCACAGGTCTGGGGTGGGAAAGGAGGTTTTGCTATTTTTTGGGGAGGGATTGGAAAGCTTTAGATCAGAACCTTTTTTCTGGCAAAGGGAACCAAAAATCTCCATTATTAACTTTTGCGGAGTTGTCATTCCAATTAATATTTAGTCCTAATTTTTGTTAATAACCTACATTTGCTTAAACACACAGATACACCCCATGCCCCATTCTGATGGCCTATGTATACTATCCTGGGGCATTACAGTAGTCTTTCTGGAAGGTCCATCCTGGCTTCTTGCCATCCCTGTGAATTGCTGCTACTCCTAGGACTCTATTGCACTTTCAAATCAACCTTCTGTGCATCTCAACTTTATCATTGCTTATAACTTTTTATGCCTGACTGGAAAGTTCTGTTCTCTGTTCTGCTGTGTTTAACCTTATATTATAGAGATAATGCATTTTTCAGGAAGGATTTCTTACCGGGATTTGTTTTGATGCCGTTAACAAGGCTCTTGCCAGGGTTGCTGTGACTGCTCCTGGATAACTCATCCTCTGGCATCAGCGCACTACGTGGTTTGGGCTTTTCTCCTCCATCTCTTTCTTTTTTGGCAGTGACAGATTTTGAAGATTTCTCAGATGACTGTTTCACAGGAGTGGGTGATCGTTTCCCTTTCACATCTAATTTCCGGGCAGGTGAGGAAGATTTAGGTTTGCTCAAAGGCTTCCTCACACCTTTATTCTTTTCTTTTATGTCTTTCTTGGAAATTTTATCAGTTATGCTCATACCTTGCTCATTTAACAATATATCAGGGTCTACCATACAGACATCAGGGTGAGGAGGGTGGGGATGGGGATCTACCATTGGAACAGGCTGAGGATCATGGCTGGACCTAGAACTGGCATGATGAGCATTCCCCACAGCTTTGTCCACTGGGAGGAAATCAGCATCTTCATCTGAGTCCATGTTGGCATCTGCTGTGATGGATGGACATTCTTCAGTCTCAGGAGGGACATCGGAGTCTGACTGGGAGGTTCCAGAATCACTCACTGATGTTGGAGGAGTTTCCTCCACTGTAGCACTTTGCATGGGACTGCTCCCAGTGTGGGGTGGTTTCCCCTGCACTGAAGGGTGACCCTCCTCCTGTGAGAGGTCACTGTCGTCAGAGAGCTCATGGGGGCTCGGGTTGATGAATGAGGGAGAGAGCTCTCC